GGAAGGGCTGTTTGGCGAACAACTGGAGAAAAGTGAGAGAGGATATTAATATTTATTTAAAGCAGAGGAAAATGAGCGAAACATCGTAGAGATCGTCAATGAATTAGAGAAGAGAGAAGAAGGCCTTTGTTTGGTTTGGTTTGTTTTCTGTTCGATACTTCTTATGTTAGGAGAGAGAGAAGTGTTCATGTTAATTATAACACGGGCCCTGTATTTTTTAACAATAATTTATTAATCCCTATAGTATCAAAAATAATTAAACAGTCCCTTGAAGAGTTTATCTTCCTAGCCTTTTTGTTCCAAACTGCCTTCTTCTTATTCTGTTTTTTTATTTTAATGTGGCTCCTCTCGAGATAGGAAAAATATTGATTTATTATGTTTGTTTGATACAACTGATTGATTTGAAATAAATGGTTTGGATCCTTAGTAAAGAAAAATAACTTGCTACTTTAAAAAAAATAATAATAATAACAATCTACTAATTTATAGAAATAAGATATTAATATTCAAAATTCAAACAAATAGTTTAGATTTTAACAACATAATGAATCATATTGCCGGTAGGGTTGCTTATAGGTAAAATAACCTCATGAGCTGGCTCGAGCCCAATAATAATTGGATGAATTTGGATATAAATTTGTAATTTGTTAGTTCGATTCAATTCGACTACTTATTTTCATTTCAATTCACCGAATCTAACTCAATCTAAGATTATAGCAATACTAACCATATTATTTATATACACACATTTTAAACATAAACTTCATATTGTGAGTCGGTACAATTAATCAAACCTAAACTTAGTCTAAAATAAGTTGAATTTAGTTTAGATCCGAGTTTGATTCGACCTATATACATGTCTAGTTGCTAGTGATTTGAGGTAGCCAATCCCTTCTATTCTCATCAAATTTTTCCACTTTGTCTGTGTTTCTTTTCCTTTTTCTATTGTCAAAAGAAAAAAACTAAATTGGAAAGGAACATGAAAGTTACAAAATGACTAAATTGTCAATTTATTAAAAAAGGGGATTGGATATATATTCTTTTAAACTAAAAGGACCAATTGATTATTTTTCAAACTAGAGGATTGTTGTTGGGCTTATAATGAGCCAGCTTTTTTCGGTTTGGCCGTTAAAAAGGTAAACCTTTGAGTTTTTGCCTGTCACGTGAGATGCTTGATTGCACGTGTGTTGGTCCTCCCTCGATGACTTCGAAGATCCATGGCCTTGGACTCGACTCCAACGGCAATTTGGGTTTCCATATTCGATTCGCGTGTTCGTGCACCTGCGCTTCGCCCCTAGGACGTATTCTTTGTTTCTATAATTTTTAAATATATAAATGGAAAATTAAAAGATGGTTTGGTATTATTCTTAATTTTATGTTTTACGTATCAAATTTGAAAATATAAACAGAAACTTGTTTTTATTTTTATTTTTTTCATGAACATGAAAAATCAATAATCAGTTTTCAAAACTTTTCAAAACCAGATAAAGTGGTTTCCTTTGAAAGACAAATGTGTATATGCTCTATCTTTTTTGGACTCAAGCTACAAGAATGGATTGGATAGGAAATGGCCTCATCCAACACTAGGTTTTGGATCGCGTAAGGATGAAGATGGATATTACGGCTAGGTTAGTACTTTTGCTTTGTCTTTTGATGCATTATGAAGATTGACTTGGTACGTTTGGAGTAGAATCTGTTGAATAAAAGTTCGGTTGTTACTTTTTTTAGTATTTGTTAAAAAGTTGAAGGAATTTACTCCAATAGAACTTAACTTAAATTTAACTATCTATACATAAATGATATGACATGATCCTAACGAGTTAAGAAGTATATTTGTTTCATTATAAATATCAATCTCACATCATTGTGAGGGGGATTTTAACTTTTTTATCATCAACAAAAAAAATCTTTAAACTCTTTGTTTCAAAATTAATCGTTCTAGAGAATTGGTTAGTCATGATACATTGCTAGAAGTCAATCTTGATTTATATATCAAGAGATAAAATAGATGTCTTTTATCTTCTTGATACATTATCAACATATCTAGGAGCCTATTAAGTCACAAGTATAAGTTTAAACATTCACACGATAAAAGAGAAGCAAAGATTTGGAAAAATAATTTTCTTTTTTAAAAATTTTTCTATTTTGAAAAAAGTTTTCTCAAATAAAAAGTCGGTTTCTAATTTAGAAAGTTCCAAAATTGAAAGACGAGTTACCTAAAAAAGAAAATTAGTTTCTTAATTTAGATTTAAGAGTAATTTAAAAAATTATTTCCTAATGTGAGCCCCATTAAAATACTTGACCCAATTTATTTGGATGATCCAAATTAATTGGTAATTAATTAGGCCAATAGACTTAATTTAAAAGCCTATAAAATATTTTGGTAGAAGAATAAACTTAAGAATCATTGGATAAGGATCAGAATTTACAAGGATAAAGTTAAATAAAACCCACATAGGTAACATCTCCTTAACCTATAAGGAGAAGTTGTCGCTCTTATATATAAGAGGGATGAGAAAGGTGACAATAAGTGTACAAGAGAACAAAAACTCATGAAAATAAAAAAAATAAAATAAAGGAAAAATATTTTTCTTTCAAAAAATAATTACTTACCAATCTCTCTTTAAAAAGCCAAAAGTTGGCACAAACTACCTTATAGGATTTTTAGAGAAAAATTAACAACATAGAAGGATTAGAGCTAGCACTCTCAGGATTTATGTAGCTTACTTGTGTGATTTTTTGAGTTGCATAGATAATCAATAAAGACTAGACATTTAGACATTTTCCTTTTTTCTTGAATTATTTATACGCTACAAGAGGAAATATTTCACCCATATTTATATTCATGTTTTTGTATAATTAGTTGATTCAACGACATAATCTTAAAAACCTTAGATGGAGAAAAAATTTTATTTATTTTGCATCTCCATATGATGTATGATCCTTCATATCAAGTTCTTGAAAACAATTTAGTAATACTGCAAAAGATCTTTAATCGCCACACATTTTCTTTATTAATTCTCAATCACTATCAATAGGGGTAACTTTATTATAAGGTTAATGGTGCTTTAACCTAGAAAAACAATTCTTATATAACAAAGCAATTTCAAGCATTAAATAAGTAAAAATCCATCTAGTTTGATAATCTAAAACCAATTTCTTTATGTTTGGAATGAGAAGGAAGTTAGCAACATCCTCAAATTTTTCAACTCTTTTAGGAGTTGCTATCCAAAATGCTACACTATCTCTAATTCACTAAATCCATTCCTTAATGATATCCAACCTGTCTTTCACTATTAAGTTGATGATATAGCCATGAATCCTTTTTTTTTTTTGGTTGCTCGTTATCTACAACAATAATGATGGCAATTCTACTTCTAAGTTTTTTTAAAAAACTCGCATCTTGTTTGCTCTCTCATTGTTGTAAATCATAAAGCATCACTTTTGACTTGTATTTGTAGTAGGACTCTTGAACAATGGTTAGAGAGTAGTTGTAAACTTCTTAAAGGCGATATGGTTAACCATAGAGAGTTGGTATTCATTATGATCATAGAAACGAGCTCTTTTGTTCCGTCTCTTGATCAAAAGTATGAGCCATTACATCACCCATTAAGTCGAAGTCAAAACCTTCTATCTTATATTTGTAATTTTCCTCGGACATTTACGAAGGTGATCATGCAAAATATTTAGTACCATTATTTGACGAGACCTCCGAGTTGCCTCTTGTAATAATTACATTCTACCATTTCTTCACCATTCATAGTTTTCTTTGTGAAATGGTCCCACACAACATTAAATTATTTCTTAGGAAGAAGATCGGAATCACTTTAAAGTCCACCCACGGTAGGTTGTGGATAAAATTGATTCGGTAATTAGAGTAGATAGAGTTGAATTCAAAGGTGTTAGTGTAGATTGATGGGAACAACCTCTATCTTCATGGCTTGTTATTTTATGAAAATATACAATAGAAATCAATAAAAACAAAGTTAGATATATAGGATAGAACAAGGAACAATTTGTTTCATTATTTCTATTTGGATAAAGGAAATTACATAGCATGAATAAAAATGACGTTATTTGCATTTGACAATCGAAAAGGTAAAAAAAATCAATTGATTATAGTGTAGTTTTTCACATGTATTAATCTAAGTAAATAGTTCAATATCTTCCCACTCAAAGAGAAATCTCACACTTCCATCCCAAATCCATAAAGGCACAAGAAAAAAAACTCTTAAAACAAAGCATAATTCAAATGCCTAATTTATAAGGAATGGACCCTAAATGAAAACGAGAGACATACTAAGCAAGTCTCTGTTTTCACTTACGTTCTTACTCAAGAATGTTTACCTTATTAATCAAATTTATCTTTAACTTTGACTTTCTCTATATAAATAGTGGCACTCATTTTATAGGGTTAATTTTATTAAACCAACTATTTTTAAATGTTTTCGAGCAATTACTAGTAGCATCACTTCACTCCACCAATTATATTATAATAGCTTTGTATTAGTTGTTGGTTAGAAACTACATACTCAATGAGATATTAAAAAAAAAAAAAGCCTTAATAACCAATTAAATATAAAAATTCAAACCCATCACATTAGAATTTTCAACACAACCAACCACCCATTCAAGCTAAATTAACAAAAGGCATATACATACATACATACATACATATGTATAGTGGTTGTTAAATTAAAGTGTGAACTAAATTAGAAAAGGCAACCAAAATAATCTCAAAATTAGTAAAGCTAAAAGAAACACGAGCAAATGGAAAAATTATAATAAAAGAAAGCTTCCCGTCAAAAAGAAGAAGAAAAAAACATCATATGATTCAAATCTCTTAATTCAATAAACAATAAAATCCTCTTCATTCAATAGAATTAAATCTCTCACAAATCTAAAAGTAGATCGGATTTACGAGAGAGTTAATTCAAAAAACTAATTAGGAAAAAAAAACTAATTACTTATATATCGGTGGTGGTGGGTGGCGAAGGGCTATGGTGGTTGGCATCACGATGAGCTGTGGTGGTAGGCGTCGCGATGGGGCATTGTGGGTTGGGGTAGATCCGATGGTCCGTGGTGGTAAGTGGTGGCATGCCAAATGAGAGATAGGTAAAGAGAAGGTGAAGTGTAAATTGTGTTTGTGTGTAAAGCTGAAACCCTAGTTTGTAGTCTCGGAGTTTATATATATGTTAGGTATAATTGTAATTTTTAAAGAAAAGGGTGGAGCGAGGCGACACTTGGCTAGGTGGGCAAATACCATCCACTGCCCCATATTTGTTCAAAGTCAATGCGGGATGGGGCGCTCCATCTCGTTCCCCGATCAACTCGAGGAAACCCTATGTTCATCGAGACAGGGCAAATTGCCATCCCTAGTTGTACTTTTCTTCTCTCTTTTTTTCTTTCAACTTTTTGTTTTATGGATTTAGTTTTTGTTTTCTACATATAATTTTCACATTAACACTTAAAATAAAATAAAATAATAGAGCTAATTATCCAAATGATGTTGGCGAACTAGAATCAGTAAAGTCAATCTATCAATCTGTAAAACTTTACTATTTATATAGTTTTTTGTGTTTTTATCTATAATATTGTTAATAAGATATTGTTTTTATCTATAATATTGTTAATAAAATATTTTTTTATACGTAATATTGTTAATAAAATATATGTTATTTTTGCTTTATGTTTGGATTTTTTTTTCTTTAGACAAACCTCAAATTATTCCTTATAAATTTTAGAGTAAATAATTTAATCTATCCTTATATGATATCCTTAATCTCTTATCTATTTAACAAATTTTAATTGCATTTCATATGTCCTTAAAAATTGTGTAAATACTTATGTCATTTCGATCAATTTTTTTTACTATAGATAATTTTTTGACCGAAATGTTCTTTATTTAAATGCAAAAAAAAAAAAAAAATCACATAGTTATATGTTCTATGTTTTAAGTTTTTTTTTTTTTTTTGGCATTTCAATCGATGGTATTTTGATTAAATAAATTATCCACGAGTCAAAAAAATTAATAAGAATTATAGATTGAACACTTAAATGATTTTTAAAAATAAATGCGATATAATTAAAAATTTAAGAATAAATAAAAGACTCAAAATATTATACAAGGACAAATTTAGCTAATTAACCTAAATTTCAAAACAATTTTTTTATTGAATTAAATCTTCAAAGTATCATCATTCCTCAATTGGATTTCCTTTCAAAATCTTTCAAATTTTTTTCAATGGAGAATATCAAATATCAATCGTTAAAATGACATCATTTTATTGCATACTCTATGCAATTTAGACATAAATATTAAGAGATGAAAACGGAAGAACTCAATTGAAGAAACTTTAATACTTGACAGTTGAGTTTAACACCATAAATGACGTGCCTCATGTAAATATTGAAGCCATGTGGCATTCTCAGGTGTACTAAAGACAAGATTTAAAGTTGTCATTCACGAAAAGGTCTGAATAATGAAAAAATATAGAAAAAGTGGACCAAGTTAAGAAAAAAACGAGAGTAGAAGGGCTAAATGCATCATTTGTCTTTCCAATTACTTTTTCGTACACTCTTTTAAGTCTCCATACTTGTGTTGAAGACTAGGAAGTCTTTATGCAATTTCGAATTCCTGGAAGATGGTGAAATTAAATATGGTGAATCCCATCAACCGTGGAGAAAAGATGTCCTCATGATACAACGGACAAAGTCAAAAAAAATAATTTGTTATGACAAGTCCTCGGTATTAGATTATTATCACGAAAAATTGTACACCATTTAAACGGTAGTTATTTTATTTATTATTGGTCGACTTTCGGCGTTGCACTTTAAACCGAACAAAATAAAATATTTTTACTTTACTAATCTCTATGCTGTTGATCTTAAAATATATAAAATTAAAGATAAAAAAATCATCTAATTTCATTACTTTTAATCAAAAATTTATATTTAATTTTTAATTTTTATTTTTTAATATAAATTTTGTTGTTAAAAAATATGATATATTTTTTCTTATGTATTTATTCTTAAATAAAAACATTTAATAATCTAAATAGAAAATTTAATATAAAATTAAAAAAAATCTTAATAATTTTTTCATTAGATTGTATCGAATAAATAAAATAACAATTAATGTAAAAAATTATATAAACTTAACAAATTAATCATTTTATTGTTCTTTAATATTCATGAGAAGACTAACTTTTTGAAAATATATATATTTGATTTATATATATTTATTTAAAAAATAAGCAATAATATTAGTATAAAAAATTATATTTGAATTATTATGTGATTCTTCTAAAATATTATTTTACTTATTTTATTTGAAAGAAATTAATTTTAATTTTTTAAAAAATAATATTAACAAATAGTTGATATTATGTGTGTATAGTCATAGTTAATTTTCAATAAAATCTATGATCTTAATTTATTTTTTATATGTATCATAAATCGAAAAATATTTTTAAGAAAAACTTAAGTTATGAAGAGTGTATTGAAGTTAATAGACTATAATAAAAAGAACCATAAAATTGATTATGATAATTTTTTGTTATAAAAAAAAATAAAACACATGAATTCTATTTTTAATTAATTAATTTTATTTACAAAATAATCAATAATATTAGCATAAAAGAATGTATTTGACTTATTAGGTGGTTTTTCTAAAATATTACTTTACTTATTTTATTTGAACGAAATTAATTTTATTTGAAAAAAATTAATAACAAATGGTTTATGTTATGTGTGTTGATTATAGTTAATTTTCAATAAAACCAATTATCTTAATTTTTATATATATATATATCATGATCATACTTGATAGGTTAGAGTGTTTATTATAAATGGAAAAATATTTTTTTTAAAAAAAACATACAATTGGTTTCGATAAATTTTAATTATATAAAAAGAAAAGCAAATAAAACACACAAATTCTATTTTTCAATTAATTATTTATTTTCAAAAAAATTATTCAAAAATCCATACACATAGAAAAGTAAATTATTTTTATTAACAAAAAAAATTATATAAAAGAGAATAATAAAAAACTAATTTGGAGAGATTTTTTTATAAAAAATGACAAATTGAAGAGATCAATTTTAAACAATAAAAGTAATATAATTTTATATATATGTTCATGAAAAACTATATATATATATATATATATATATATAAAACAACAATTGGTTTTTTTATAATTTTTGCAACTCAATTCAATGAATAAAAAAATTATATGAAAAAAAAGCAAAAAAAAAAAAAAAAGGCAAGCCTGGTCCATCTAGGGATCAATTTTTTTAAAACATCATAGACCAAAATAAAACATAACATAAAATTTGCATATGAATACCCAAAAATAGTTGGAAAAAAAATGCCATTGTCTAAAGTTATAAAAAATGCCACAAGTTAACGGTGTTTTGCGGGGGAATGACTAGTCACAACCTCTATTCTATAGTTATTTTTTGTTAATATAAGCAACTTGTGGCTTGGTGGAGATAGGCAAATGATAAATCAAACCTTTTTGAAACTTTTTACCAGCAATATGAAAATCAATATTAATGTTTTTCAAACACTTACGATAGACATGATTTCTAGCAATATGTAAGGCAATCAAATTGTTGTAGTAAAAAGAATATGCATATAAATATTTACACCAGAACCAACTAAAAATTAATAAAATTATACCAACTCACAAATTATAAAAGCCATGACATGATGTTCGATTTTCATAAAAGACTAAAAAGCATTTGTTTACTTGCTTTTCTAAGACATGGGACTTGAACTAAGAAACATTCCAAAGTCGATGATTGGATGATAGTCATTGAATAATGTGTTCGGTTTGAATCACAACAAGTAACTAGTTGAAAAAAGTTTGATATATAAATAAAGAATGATGTTAAATATTAAAAAAAAATAAAAAAGAAAAAATACCAAAAACACACATAGATTGTTAGACTGGTGAGATCTATAATTGGATCTCACTTCTTGTTCGATCGGAATCACAACAAATAATTAGTTGAAAAGAGTTTAATATATAAATAAAGAGTGATGTTAAATATTAAGAAAAAATATAAAAAATGCACATAGATTGTTAGACTCGTGAGATCTATAATTGGATCTCACTTCTTCATCCTTCATATAAGAACATACAATTAGATTTATAATTGATTATGTTCACACACACACATATTTTGATGCATCAAATTAAACATAACCATATTGATATATCAAATTAAAGTGGATATAACTTTTATTTATCTTTATATATAAATATATTTTTTTATTTTTTAGAAATCATTTAAACAACATCAATTTTATTAAAATTATTAATGGTCACATATGATTTAATTTAAATAAATGGAATATACAAGGAGAATTTTCCCACATATGTTTTCGAGAAAAGAAAAACATCATACAAGTTTGACCAGGTTTTAAATTGAGAAAAAAATATAATTCCGTTGCCGGGACTTGAACCCGGGTCGCTCGGGTGAGAGCCGAGTATCCTAACCAACTAGACTACAACGGATGACTAATCATTTGGCATAATTCAATATATACTTTAAAAGAATTCTTGCGCTGTCTTTTGCTTTACCACCGTCATCCCCTTTTTTGCCCCCTCACTTTGTTTTCGTAGCTTTCAATTTCATGGCGGAGAAATCTACGAACGGTATTCATTTCATTATCTGTTTCTTTCTCAAGTTTTTTCTTCAATGGTAACACAAAAGGAATTTATCAATAATTTGATTTTTCCATCCTTTTCTTTTCACTATCTCTACCCAACTACCGAACAGAAAGTAAAAAGAATATGAATTCCACATTGAAATTCTTAATTCCGCTTGAATGAATTATTCATGTGCAGAGCATATTCTAGAGCAGCTGAAACATGGGGTTGCCAAATTTGAGCTAGTCTCTTCGCCACTTCCTTCAATTTCCACCTCGAAACCTCAGACTCTCTTCACTGGCAACAGCCATCGCTTCTTTGCTAGAATTGGACCTTCACTGTGAGACTGCTTCTTCTTTCTTTGTTCTTTTCTTTTTTCCTTGCATTTTCTTAAACCCACTTTTTTTGGAGGCAGGGGATCAGCGGCGATGAAAAAAATAGAGCATTATTCGGTTCAGAAAGTTACTGGAGATGGGCGCTGTCTATTTCGTGCTCTGGTACTAATGAGCTGTAACTTGATGATATAAGGTTTTTGTTTTTGACATTAAACTGATTTTGATTGATGAAAAATCAGGTCAAAGGAATGGCTTTCAACAAGGGTATCTCACTTAATCCACGAGAAGAGAGAAATGATGCAGGTATGCTTGATGGGATTAGCAATTTCATAGCCCCATTTCTGCATTTGAAATTTTGATTCTTGCAAATGCTTCAGGATTAGGAAAGAGCTGTGGATTTGTGTTTCTTATTGACATCTCTTGAGGCCACTGCATTTTCTGTTGTATTGCAAAGCATCCTCCCTGGTTTTATTATGTGATTCTTTTGAATTCTATGCTTTTAATCTTGAGTTTATAGCAGAGATTGATAAGATTATACTGCTATAAATAGTGGCAGAAGCTTAGATTCTCTTGCTATTAAAATTGCAGATGAATTACGAATGGCTGTGAAAGAGGTTATATGTGATAGTAAAAAAGAACGCCAACAATACGAAGAAGCAGTTATTGCGATCACGGTTGATGAGTCTTTGAAACGGTGAGTATTGAAACAGTGCAGACATCTATGATTTTCTGATGGATGCTTCAACATACTTTTGTGAAAAGGAATTCATTCTGCAAATTTGTTAATGTCTTTCTATAGTTACTGCCAACGCATTCAGCGACCTGACTTTTGGGGAGGCGAGTCAGAGTTACTGGTTAGTGATCCTTTTTTGAGGCATTCTTTTATTCTTACTTTTTCATGGTACCATTTGTTTTGTTGGTTATTGTGCTTGCAATTGTTCGGAGATCTACTATTGAATTTATGGAGTTGATATGTATTTTGAGTTGACATACCTCTGTTGGATATGCTACTTTAGTTTTCGTTTTAGTTTCCATTGAGATGGAGATTGAGTTGCTTACTGTTTTTTTTTTTTTTAATCTGTTTGCATTTAATTTTTCATAGGATTCCAAAGGAAATCGGCCAAATGGAGCTTTAAATAGGCCCTTATATTAGTAAAATAACTAATTACCATATGTATAAAGTCATGAACTTGTAAAGTTGATATGTTGCTATTAGAATCTAGATGATGCCAAATTTATTAATGCAATGATTATGTAGAGAAATCTTAAAGAAATTTAGAAATAGATAAAGTTCCATTAAAGAGTGTTTCCACGGGGAGAAAGAAGGGTTTTGACCTACTTGCTTAGTCGCACCCTTGAACGTTAGTTGTAAACTCACACTTCCTGAAGCAGACAACCAACTGAACTATAACCCCTAGCCTTCCAAGCTGATGATGTTGATGGGACGTCGGCCTTTGCTAAGGGCTTTGCCATTCATTTGTTTCAAAACAAAATTGGGCTATGCTCCTACTTTTTAACTCACTTTAATTTCACTCGTTCAAATTGAGACGAAGACATGCGAAAGCTATTTTCTTTTTCCATAATATATTTCCATTTCATTTTGGGTGAGAGGCAGAAAAGAACAGCCATTTCAAGCTTCGAGTAGTAGCTTTTGAATACTCTGCTCGAATTGATTTAGCCATTACAAAAGACCACGTGCGACTGATTTTGCTCCCAATGTTATTTGTATGAGTTTTTGCCTTTTCCTGTATGGTTGTTTATATGCAACTTTTTGCTGATAATTCACTAACCAACAATCATCGATACTGAATTAGGTGCTGTCAAGATTGTGTAATCAGCCTATCATTGTTTACATACCGGAGCATGAGGTATGTTTTTTCTTTCCCTGATCATGCTATGCAAAATATTCTCGTGATTTTGGATTGGTTTGGTTATTCTGGGTATTGGTTTTCCAGTCATTGGATTTAATTTTAGGTGCTTAACTTTTTGCTTTTTCCGCAATTATAAGAACATCATTATGCTGTATGGCCTAGTAAAGAGATTAAATTTGCAAAAAAATGAATTAGCTTTATGATTTGTGCCGCATGCAAATGAGGGATGTAGTCAGGGAGCCACTGGCATGCTACAAATCAAATTATTCTTTGGGGCTTATAGCAGGGGATCGGTGAGATCTTCATTATCCAACAAGAGTAACTTTACTCAATAGAAGCGGTGTTTGATATGCTAAATTGGGTCCAGATTTTAAGATCATCTGATCACCTTACCATCTCCATAGTATTGCAGTCATTGAACCTATGAATATGCTCCTCTTGTTACGGTGCAGTATTGCTGCCACAATACAGTAGGTTAAAAAAATTCTATTTTTTTTTTTTTTAAGGAGAGATTGTGTAGAATTTTACAATCCAATTATAATGAAATTTCAAAATTCTGCATGCAATGCAGCATGCAAGGAGCTGGTGGGGCTCTGGCTTTATTCCCATAGCAGAGTACGGAGCCGAGTTCTGGAAGGGCTCATGGAATGGAAAGCCAAGGAAAGCTGTGAGGCTACTGTACAGTGGTAAGAACCATTATGACTTGCTTGTCTGAGGCTTCAGACTTCATCACTGGCGGAGGAAGACTAACATTGATGATTGCCATAGAGAGTGATGTTGATGCAGTTTTGTACCCGTACTATTGGAGGATGTAGTCTTGTAGAGATTTACTGAATTATGTAAAAGAATTTGAAAATCATGCTTCTTTTTTTTTTTTTTTTTGTTGCTTATTGAAAGCGCAGACTTTCTTTTCCAGGCTTGAACAGGTAGCTGCATTTCCTTTAGCCTAAAAGACTAAAAGGCCTCGTGTTTGAAAGTTACACCAATGGAAAGACTCATAAGAAGGATTATGATTTTATTGAGGAAAAAAAAACAAGGCATTATGATTTTGGGATTATATCACAAAAATAATTTTTTAAAATATACTTAGGAGCAAATATAACTTGCAAATTTGCAGTCTTTGTTTAGATTTTTGGAGCGCTACTGTGACCAGCTATGTTCATTTCCTAATCCGTAAAAAGCCTCTTGGTTTAAGGTTTATATTATTAATTTAGACTATTTAGACTCCAAATTATTATTTTTTGGATAAATTTAATCTATTCTCATTATATTTGATTGTCAAAATGTTAATTGTTAACTTAAATGTTTAGAACATTATTGTTTTTTAACCATTTATTATAATTAAAATCGATTTAAAAAAATAAAAATTTACTTCTTTTTTTTTTACTAGATGGATTCATTACACACTTTTAATTATTTAATGAAAAAACATCTAAGCTTCCCTAGAGTTAACCGTTATTATTGTTATTATTTTGAGAATTAAAATTAATTATCAAAAAAATATTAATAATTCAATTTTTTTTTTACTAGAAAGACATATTATACATAATTGATTATGCAACACCAAAAGTCATATTCATAAACAACAAATCATCCATGCTTTCTTAAAACTAGTTATATATATATATATATTAAAAATTAATTTTAATTCTGAAAAAAATATTTGAAATGGTGTCCTTTTAAGTATTTCAATTAACAACTACCAGTTTGATGGTCAAATATAAGAGAGAGAGATAAAATTTTATCTTCAAAACTAATAGTTTGACCCAAATACTTCAAATTAATACTAAACTCAATAAAATAAGAGTAGATTATGCTATTGAACCAAAGCCCCTTTGTAAAGAAAAAGAGTAAATTATCCTTTAGTTTCGACTAGTTAGATACCTATGTTATGCTTGCAATCGGACAATCATTATATATGTAAGGTCAATAATTTGTATGGTGTGATACGAGAAGAAGTTTTGCTTCTAGAGGTTAATGTAAATTGAATCTATATATTAAGCGAACTTGTTTGATTTATATATATTTATTAACAAAATAATTTATAATATTAGTATAAAAATTTGTATTTGAATAATTAAGAGGTTCTTTCGAACATTAATTAAATTATTTTATTTTAAAATACAGATTTTAGAACATGAAAAAATAAATAACAAATAATTGATATCATGTGTGCAAATATTATTAATTTATAAGAAAGACATTATATATGTATCATACTTAGCAAATTTAGAGTATATAGAATAAATACAAAACGTAGACAAAAAAACCAAATAAAATCGCATGGAATATATCGAAGTGAACGGATTTAAATAAAAAATTATTATAAAATTGATTTCGATAAATTCTGATTATATATATAAAAAACCAAATAAAACCTATTAATTTTTTTAACTAATTATTAATTTTAAAAAAAATTGAGTCAAATTATTTTTTAACTGATTATTATTTTTTAAAAAAATTAAGTCAAATTATCTAAAACACATTATTAGCTCTCTTTCTCATCGAAATTTATATATACAACTACGCTACTCTCATTTAAAAATCATAACAATAATCAATCGTATAAATTATAATAATATATTTTAAAAAATAAAACAATCACGTTCTTAAATTTTATTTCAAAATCAACATATAAAAAAATAAATTTTATTAACAAATAAAATTATATAAAAAATTTAAAAATTAATTTGATGACAATTTTAATAAGAAACAAACAATTGAAGAAATAAATTTTAAACAATAAAAATAATATAATCGGATATATATATGTTTAAATTAAAATCTTAAAAAATATCATATATATTCTATTACTTGTCAAATTATACGTAAAACTAAAAAAGTAATTTTTTTTATATTTTCACATCTAATTTCATGATAAAAATATAAAAATAAATTATTGAAAAAAAAAAAAAGCAAACGTGACTGGTTGTGCAAGCCTGCTTCTCTGGCAACCCAGCCCTTAAAAAACAAAATACTACAGTAAATGAACAGTGTTAATTTCAGATCTTCTAGGTTTTTTTAGTATTTTTTGTATTCGGCTATAACTTAATCCTTTGGGTTTGAATTTTTTTTTTTTTTTGGTTCAGAATCACATAAAGTAAAAGCAAGATGTTATGGTAAGATAATGATTCACACTTAACAAGAGTCAATAGTCAGGGGATTCAGTTAAAAAAAAAATCAGTAAGTGGATTAAGTTATAAATGATCAAACATAAAGTACTAGGTTATTATTTTATCTTAACTCAGGGATCAAAGAATAATTTACTGAAACAAAGTGAGACGTTGCCAAAATTCCGAGTGGCCGAATCTTTGACACGTGTAACAAAAATGTTTTGCACATGCTAGTAACCGTTTCTTTCATAGCTTGAGTAAATTATAAATTAGTACCTCTTCTTTAGTAAGACGAATTGATAATTTTTTTTTCACTTTCAACAATTAATTATTTAGTCATTTATGTTTTAATTTTATCAATAATTTAATATTTTATTATTTTTTTCATTAGACTAGTAATTTTTATTTTGAAATTACCTTTTTTAATTGATAAAAAAAGAAAGAAAGAAATAAGGCAAAAAAAGAAAGAAGACAACTTAGAAAAAAAATGGAACTAACTTATTGAAAAAATTGCAACACAAACAATTAAATAATTAATTTTTAAAACAAGGAAGATTAATTAGTTTGTTTTTGCAAACGGGAAGGACTGATTTATAGTTTACTCTTCATACCTCCCATGCCAAGTCGAATTTGAAAAACTGGGAAAGAAGGGAAAGGGTTAATATATCCGCAACTGACATTCCAAAAAACGCACATTTAAAGAAGCGGAGGAGAATTCTAGGGTTTCCAATTTCACTAAATTCGATCAGTCAAATGGAAGGAGTGAGCAATGGAGGGATGTTATACCACGAGGTACAAGAGGCAAAGCTATGCGCCGTACATTGCGTTAACTCGGTGTTACAAGGACCGTTCTTTTCAGAATTCGATTTGGCGGCGCTTGCTTCCGATCTCGATACAAAAGAACGCCAGATGATGCAAGAGGGAGCCGCCGCCGCTGCCGTTGCTGCCGCTGGTGATTTCCTCTCCGCCGAGTCTCATAATGTCTCCTTAGGCGGAGATTTTAGCATCCAGGTTTGCTTTCTTGGTTTCTTTCTTTGGCTTTGTTATCTTTTAAAGTTGTATGGCTTTTTCCCTTGAGAAATTAAAGGAAAATATGAGATTATTGGATCGATTAGTTCAAGTGGTTAATTGTTAAAGAATGAAAAATTCAGATTTTTTTTAATTAATGGTGCATGTAGTTAGATTGTTTGCTTACTATAGTCGGAACCAATCATGACTGTGCAATTTTTCTTTTTGTTTATCTTGATGCTGAGAAATCTGGAATTAAGTAAAAAACTTTAATGTTAAATGGTAATTTTTTTTTAAAAAAAATTGTTATGTTGCTTTGTTTTGAAGTTAACGCAAATTGAGTGAAAGTTGAGGCAGCTTTTGTTACCATTGCCTCAAAGTATACGAAAACCACAAGTTCTGGGTAGCTTTTTAAAATTTTAGCAATGACTGTGTGTTTAGTGGGTTCTACCAAAACTGGATTAGAGAGAAGGGATTGGCAAGTTTCTATTCCTTTCTCAGTGGTTGAAAATTTGAGGTATTTTGAGAGATGTGTCTGGGGATAATGAATCTTGTAGTTCTTTATTGTGCAAAGTATGTTAGTCGAGAATAGGAAACTAGGTTTTTAGATTGATGCTTTGAACATTTAGCTACTATTGGTGAAAATATGGGGTAGACAGGCTTCTCATATTGCTAGGGGAGCCTTTGATGTTGATTTATGGATAATGAGGTGGCTGGGATGCTTTTATAAAGCATGTGTAGCTAGAGGTGGGAGATGGAAATGAGGAAAAGTTTTGACAAAGATGTATGGAGCACGCGCCATAATTTTAATATCTAATAGTACGCATACGCGATAATTGTTAGCGTTTGTGGATAAATTCTTTAATAGACTTTTATGAAGTGCATGTCATTGTGTGAGAATAAGATACGAGATCAGCTCGTAGTTACCATAAATGTGGAAACCCCCACATTTGGCGATCTGGATCGCACCTTTCGGATCACAGTACATTTATGTATTGGATCAAGCTGGTTCGCGATCTGGATCGTGAAAATTGGTGACCCATTTTTGGTAACAAAAATCTGTATAAGTGGAAGGAATTTGAACAAAACTTTGAATTTCCTTGATTTTTCTCCAAGAGCCGAGAGAGAGAAGCTGTAAAGAAAGAATGGAAATAGGAAAAAATCAGCTGCTGGCGAGAAACGATGAAATAGGCTCGAGTTTCAAGAAATACAGTTTTTAAGACAGCTGAAATGTTGTTAATTAAACCTAGAGAAATCTGGGCCTTCAGAAAAAGGACAAGTCTAGGCCTTCAGTGGCCTAATATTTCTTTCAGACTCAGGTCTGGTTTTTAGTTATTATCTGGCCCAACAGTTCAATTGATTTGAAGCTCAATTGATATTAAGCCTAATTACGAATCCAATTTATTTGAAATAACTAATGTTCTTTCTATTCTCTTATTTATTATAAATGAAACCACATTTGTGTTTGAAGTTTTTTTCCTTACACTATTAAATCATAGTGTTTGTGCCATCAACAAACTGAAAAGATGTTCCAAGTGTACCACGATTCGAGCTTATGTACCATCTAAGTCTACCCCCTAAGCACTGTAAATTATTCGAAGTGCATCCCATCATCGAACCTTGTACCATGATCAAGATGTTACACGTTTCTGGTAACCATGGACCAGTGAATGGTATGAACTGGTGACTGAATGGCATTTTCATGGACAAATTTTGTGGCTACAGTTCCTCTCAAAGTTTCTTTGTGCATGTATTTGCTTGTATCGTATCATAACAGAAATAGTGGAAGGACTCACTGGAGAACTGGTTCAGTGATGAAGGTTTGTAAACCCAGTATACATTGCAGATTAACTGGGAACATGAGCATGTATAGTTTCATCGTAGGTTTTGTCATTCATTCAGGCACTAATTCTCATTTTCAGCTATGCAATCTTTGGTATTCATGTTTGTGTGTGAGTGCCCGTTCAGCATGTGCGATGAACATTCACTTTTTACTCTTTACATGAAATTTCTTAGGAAATTATTGAACTGGCTTGCCCTGGTCGTAAATTTTCTGCTCCTTTTCTCTAGTTCTATTTTATCAGTGAATTATTAATTACTAACCATGCATGGTCCATGTTGTCATTCATTAGTCAAAAACTTTTTATGTAATCATATGAATGGGCTTATTGAATGATGCTACTCAGAAGATGCATCCCGTTTGAATTATCATACTTGAGAGATGATACTATCAGATTAAACTTAAATGCATATAAAGAATGTTCCTTGTTTTGCCGGGGACTCTATCTTGGCATGTCAATGGAGTTGTACAAACTTAACTTATTGTGAGAATTCTTATTTGCAGGTTTTACAAAAGGCTTTAGAGGTGTGGGATTTGCAGGTCATAGCCTTTGACAGTCCAGTTGCTGAGCATGCGCAGATTGACCCTGATCTAGAAAATGCTTTTATTTGTCATTTGCATGATCATTGGTTCTGTATTAGGAAAGTGAATGGGGAGTGGTATAACTTCGACAGCCTCTATGCAGCTCCGCAACACTTGTCCAAGTTTTACCTTGCAGCCTACCTGGATTCTCTTAAAAACTCTGGCTGGAGCATTTTCCTGGTGAGAGGGAACTTCCCGAAAGAGTTCCCCATCTCATCCTCTGAAGCTTCCAACGGTTATGGACAGTGGCTGTTGCCTGAAGATGCTGAGAGGATTACTAAATCATGCAACACAACTCAGTCTCCTCTGAGAATCAATTCCAATCAACAGGATTCCGACCCATATCAAGAAATTCTGTTAGAAATGGAAGACCAGGACTTGAAAGCTGCAATAGCTGCCAGCTTGATGGAATCTTCCCAAGCCATGGCTATGGTGGAAACCGGTGGTCCTCAAAATGACAATGACGATACCAAAGATGGCAACAGAGCCGGTCCTCAAAATGAAAGTGAAGATACCAAAGATGGCAACAAAGCCAGTCCTCAAAATGACAATGAAGATACCAAAGATGGCAACAAAGCCGGCCCTCAAAATGGCAGTGAAGATACCAAAGATGGCAACAAAGCCGGCCCCCAAAATGACAATGAAGATACCAAAGATGGCAACGAAGATAACAAAGACAAAAATGCACTATAAGAAATATTCTTTTGCATTTATTTTCTGTTAGTTGAGCAACAAGAATCCATGTCAGGGAGGGTGGTTAGATCACATCCTGGGCAGGTCAATTGTAGTTGTGCAGTAAATACATTCATTTTACTTTTCTCACCTTTAAATTTTTACTGTAAAAACTTATATCAATAAGAAAACAACCTTGCAGCTATATGATTGTAAATTTCAGTTTTCAGACATTGATTATCTAACATGCACATGTTGAGTTTTAAGTTTTTTTTTTTTTTTCCCCTCAAAACTTGTATGATTCTTGGTTGGGTGGGACGTATTATTTTGGGATTGGATGGTTTCACCATGAGAATATGTGAATCAAGGGGTTTTTTTTTTTTTTTTTTTAATTGGTGGAAGAAACATCAAATGTCATCTAGTTCCATGAGTTATGGTTACCCGATTGATCACGTGGTGTTAAATGTATCGAAGAGTTTTGGGACAGTTGCTCTGGCCGATGGCACTTATTAACCGCCGCAGACGCCAAAAACCAGCCATAAACATAGAGAGAGGTGAATACCCTGGTTTGAGGGCAAGAATTCTCCTCCACTGAACCTTTGACGAGAAGAGTTTTCAATGTTCAACCCCGTTAAGGAATTAAGATGAATACTAATCTAGAAGAGGAAGAGGTAAGCAAAGAGCTTTCCTTTTCCCCATGTATATATTATATATATATACCGACAATTATTATATATACTCTTATATAATTGTGGGAGAGAAAAAACAAAAGAGCTGAAAAGGTAGAAAAGCAATGGGCGGATGGGCGTATGACTCTTTTAGGCTGGATGCGGAGTCCACCAACCATACCTTTTGATAGTCTTCCATCTATGATAAATGCTAGTACTACATTGGATGGGACCTGATCACCTGAGTGAACAATAAAAAGAAAAGAAAGGGGTATATTACTAGTAGATGAAAAGGCTAAGAGGAAGGACCAATTGTTTTTATTTTTTTTTCGAAGATCATCAAAAAGACACCTGCTTTTGTTTTCTTTCTTTCTTTTCGGTGTTTAGAGATCTGACACTGGATTTTATTAAATGGGTTCGTCCAGTCGATTGTTTAACAGAGAAAGAACTGTTCATGAGATCTTTGGAGGAGGTTTTGGTAAGAGACTGTTTGATCCTTTCTTGACGATGACGATTAATATCTTTGTCATCAATTTATAGCGTTAACTGTACTTGAGTCCATTAGTGCAGTAAGATTCTTTGTTTGTTTTCAGCTATTTAATTTTGTGAGCACTTTCCTTGTTTTGTTTCTCATCCTAGTAATTTATCATCAGTAATTTTATTTACTAGTATATCTTTTGTTTAACAGTGGCAGACGTCATACTATGGAGGCAAAGGAATATTACAATTGGGATAGTGTTAGTAGCTCTATCTTCTTGGTTGGTGTTTGAGAGATCCGGTTACACTCTGCTGTCACTTGTTTCTAGTGTTGTCCTCCTCCTTGCTGTCATTCTCTTTCTTTGGGCCAAATCTGCAGCAATTCTTAACAGGTAATTTCCAATCAGATTTTGATTTTTAATCATGATTAAAGGTTATATGGTGCCAGTTAATTCTGATGGATTTGAATATTCAACAATTTAAGAAAGTCAATTGCAAATAATGTGGTATTTAGTGTGCATTGACACAACTTGAGACTTCTTTCCTTGAGCTCTTTTGGAATGCGGCTTCTCTGATGTCCAGTTAAATGTTATGAAGTCTTAGGATTCACTCTAAGCAATGGAAGAACTAGGACTTAAGAGGTGATTTTCAGTCATGGTCAAGGTTTACATCAGTCACAGTCCTTAGATGGCAATAAATTTTGAAATTTTGGATGTTAACTCATAAATTGACTCCAGAATGAGTTGCCCGCATTTATTTCCTCTTTGTCAATAGCAGAAAGCATGAAGAAGAGTTGTTTTTCCCCCCAAGCAAATGACTGATTTCGGAGTAATATGTTTGAGGAAATGCAGTTGTTGTTTCTGGATCAATGCTGGCCTTTGAGTGTGATTCTCTTTGGAAGCTGTAGTTAGTTTTGCCATCCCCTGAATTAATTCATCTATAATAAATTTACCATCAGAACAAAATAATGACCCTATCAAATTTTTTCTCTACGATACTGAAATCAAGAAAATAGAGCATCCCAATCCCTCTCAAGTCTCAACATCTGCGGGTGAACTTCTCCTGAAATGTCCCTAACTTTTTTTAATTAAAGGAGAATGAGCACTATATTTTTTCTAATTGAACAATAGCAAGTTTCCTAGATTTCATTTTCCAGTTTGAAAAAACTTGAGGCTTTAATTGGATTTTTGTCCATTGCACAGACCTGCACCACCTTTACCACGCTTGCAACTGTCTGAAGAAACAGCGAATGAAGTTGCTTCTTTCATCCGCAATCGCATGAATGCTTTGCTCTCAATTTCCCAGGACATTGCCTTGGGTAAGGATACCAAGTTGTTCTTCAAGGTAGCTGCATACCTGTTGCTGATAGCTGTTGTAGGTGGCTTAACTGATTTCGTTACTCTGGGCTATGCCAGTAAGTTTTCATCCTTCTTTCAAATATGTTTTTGATTTCTAAATGGAATTAAAAGAAAAAAAGAAAGATATTTTCCATAGTACAAGTATGGACACTTCGAAAATGTATCCATTTTTCGTGTTCTTTGTATCTTTGTTTATCCTACTTATCTGTACTTCTACATTTTTTCGTTGCGACAGGCCTTCTGATCTTTCTCACGATTCCAGTGCTCTATGAGAGATATGAAGATTATATTGATAGATATGTCGAGATGGTGTTCAAGAAATCACACCAATTGTATCTGAAATTCGACGTTAAGTGTATTGGCAGAGTCCAAAATTGGGCTTTGGAGAAGAAGAAACTAAGTTGACTCTCATTTTTCTTCTGTCTTTTGGGATTTCTTATGTTTTGTGAGGAGAGGTGCCGAGAAGTGCTTAGGGTGGGCACCGTGATATATGAGATTTGGGCGTGGGAGATTGCTCTTTTTTTTTCGGTTTTGGTCATTTTTTGAAACAATTTCTTTCCTCTTTTTACCTTCATTTCATTGCCAGAGTTTCTTGGCAACAATAGAGAAATGTATAGGAGCTGCTGCAAGCCACCCAGAATGCTAAAACAGATTGAGAAAAGCATTGAATTGGAAGTGTCAAAATTTTTTTGGTAATTTCACTTTTAGGAAACTGTACATCAGCCCATGATTTATGACGTGCCAGCCAAAGATGGTTGAAATCCGTGCTGGTTCCTCGGTTTTTTAAAAAGTACCATGTTTAAGTTATTCATGCATTTGACATGACTTGATGTTTACGTGGGGAAAAAATTTGTAAGTAGGATACAAATAGTTTTGAGTTATTGATGCAGTGCCGTGAACTATTAAAACATTAAAATCAATATATATATATATATATTAAGGTCAAAGTCGGATACATGTACATAAGATTAATGGTTGGAAGAGGTTTTCTTTTTTTTACTTTTTCTTTTACCCTTATCCGTATAATTCCATTAGCTTTTTAAACTAGTGTTAAATCATGCTATTAGCATCACAAAATTGCAACACGAATTAACTTTTTTTTTTTTTGTCTTAAATCTCGTATTTTTACCTTTTAAACTTAATTTAAATAAATAATTTTTTTCTTACTCGTGTCATTCCAATAGCTTTTTGAACAGATGTTAAATCATACCGTACCATTAACGCCACTGCAAACACGTATTAATTTTTTTGTATCTCATCTATTTATTTATTTATTATGAATTTAAATTTAAAAAAAAAAAAGTGAAGATAAAAATATTTTTTAAGCTGTTACCAGACTTGGATTTACGATTACTTTCAACTCTTCCGGGTAGCAGTAGCCAGAAACCAACAACGAAGATTTCCCGAAGAGAGAAAAAATGAGGACCATAATAGAGAAAACAAGTACAGGCCGAGGAGACTGCAGCAAAAACTGTAGGCTATAATAGCCTATAACTGATCAAAGCACGAGTCCCTTAAAAATCAATACATGGTACAAGAGCAAAAACAAGCGGAGTCTCTACTCCTGCCCACTTCCGAAGCCATCACGGTTCTCATGCTGCCATCCATAACCAGGTCCATCATGGCCCATATCCCCAGAATAGTAGTTACCTCGTTTGGGCTGTGATGAGTGAGGCAAGGGCGGTGGAGGTGGTGGTGGATGCGGAAAGGGTTGTGGTGCCAATATACCTTTGCCATCTCTAGGATCCATAGCTTCCATCCCCTTGTTGGCAGAGGGTGGGGGAGGAGGAACCATAGGTAGAACTCCTGGACTCCGTCCATAATCACCCTGATAAAATGCAACATTACCCTGAGAATCTGACGAGTTTGCGAAAGCATCAGGAATTCCCTGACCACCTGGTGCTGGTCCAGCATTCCAGGGCTGTGGATAATTTGCCATGAAATTCATACCGCCTGCTGGACCTGGAGGGAAACCTAACAAAGACCCTTGTTCTGCTCCACCATCTGGTGTTGAATCTGGCCTGGCCATCTGGCCCATCTCATAGGGTGCAACATAGAATGGCTGAGCTCCCTCAGGTTGGAAATGAGGAAGACCAAATTGAGGAGTCAATAGTGGATTCGAATTCTGCGGCACAACAAAATTTGGTGGTTGAATGGAATGAATCGGTGGGTATTCAGGCATGGGAGTCTCAGACGCTATTCCCTGTTGCTTGTCTGCAAACTGGCTGGATTCTTGTTGTGGATTACCCTGTGTAATCTGTTGAAAATGACCCTGGTGAACAGGTCGGTCAAACCCTGGGGGAAGGTTATTATTTAGTTGGGGCTCTGATAGGTAATTTTGGGCTGGCCCAAAATATGGTGGTTTTGGCATCACAGGCCTTTGAAGTGGTTCTCTAGGCTGCTGCCGGCGAGCTTTGTCTTCAAAATCAAGAAGCTGGGAACTTGAACCAGGTGAAATAACTGGCCTTGGAGGAGCTCGAACAGTGGAATCTGATGCTGTTGGTTGTTTAGCACTCTGAACCTCTGACTCAATACCCTCATCTTTTACTGCATTTGGCTGTAGGAGATCAGCATGGCTATCATGAATATGAGCTTCAAACTCAGATCTCTTCATGAAAGATTTAAGACAATGAGGGGCTGCACAGATGAAGATCCCCTCCATCATTTTGATTGTCTGAATCTTCTGAATACGCTCATCACAACTGTGTTCCATGAGAGACCAGAAACAGATACTTAGTTAATTCCGCAATTAATTCATCTATAGGGTAAGAATTTGAATATAAATTGCATTAATGAACCTCAGGAAAAATTTGTCCTCCTTTGTTAAGTTTCCAACACATAACTACAGGATGGTAGCATAATTCTATGTTCTCATCCAGACACTGGCAGGTAAACCAAACCAAGGTCATTATAGATATGCCATTGGGAGACAGAGTTACTAGCAGCTAGGCTAGCATCGACAGACTTCATTATCTTCCAATGTTTTATATACATGCAACAGTTACATCAAGCATATCTTCAGGTTGGCTGCTAGGGGAACTTGAGTGGACCTGCCCTTTCATGGAAGCGTATATAAATGAAGATAGCAGCGGTTGATAGTTTTGCAAATTCACAAGCAAAGCATAAGAAATCAATTGCTCTCTCTCTCTCTCTCTCTGTTTGTGTTTGTTTTTCTTTTTGGAGAAGAGGGCCGTCTTAATTTTGGCTCAATAAAACAGTTTGGGATTTTTATCAAGGCTGAAACTCAATGTAAACTGGTTTAAAAGACACTATAAATGCAAAATAAAAGTCCAATAGTGGTTGAAAAGGTAAAAAGCATGAAAAATTGACATCTTGTAACAATTCACTCCTAGTCACTAAAGAATTACAGGAATTGCAATATAAGTTCTTAGAAGCCGCTAGGAAATATGCTTAGCTTCGCACATTTAATTAATTGATCATCACTCTCATCAAAGAAGCTCAAAATCACATTTAAAAGTTCAAGAGCAAGTTATAATGGTTGAAATTCTGGAAAGCTACAAAAACAACTTCACACTACAAGTTTGGAAAATCATATATTTCAGTGGCACTATACAACTCATAACTTTGTAGCAAGTATATGAAAGATCAGAAATCTCCTTACAGATAGCATGTTGAATCACTCCTAGCACAATCAAGACAGAAGGCATGCTCGCAAGGACTCTGCACAAACATAATTTAGTTAGTTCCTACATCAAGCTTTTAGAATAACTATACAATACACCGAAAAATCTTATCGAGCTATTAGAACACTTCTAGCAGCAATTAAAGAAACTCAGATTAATATGCTACAAACAGATGCAATCATTTGTACAGAGGCACATATTGTACTGAAAGGAGCATTGACAATCTGACCTTTGTACTTGAACATTGTTCTACTGGAACTCAGTACAAATTTTTCAAAACCTTACACAGATGAGGCATGTCCTTCAGCCAAATAGTAAGGCCTCCATATATAGTAAGGATTGGAAACTAAGCACAGAAGAACCAAATCAAACCATTACAAACCTACCATATCCAACTAAAAAATTTCTGCCAACTACTCGGTCCCAAACTTATTAGAATCAGCTATGTGAAATATTTAACTCCATTTGTTCTGTTCATGGCCAGATCGTTCCTGGATTACTGCAAGACTAATCCTTTTTTCAAGAATTTAAAACGTTATATTAATCCGAACAATCTCAAATTCAATCACTCTACTGCATTGAATCCATGTTTCTATGGTAGCCAGACCATTTTGAGTGGCTCTTCATTCAACTTATTAACTGCCACCTCCACCTACCTACAATGCTTTTAGTTTTCAAACATCCATTTAACATTCCCATCCCTACTGCAATTATTTTATAGTCCCTCTAAAGTTTTCATTAATCAACAAAACTTCCTAACACACAAAAGAACACAATAGCCATCAGGCGACACTTCTACTCCGACTTACCAATATCAATTCTACAAAGCCAAAATTTATAATCAGATAGGCGAATATCAACTATCAGGTAGTATTAAACAATCCAAAAAATATTCTAAGACCATTACCTACTACCATCTTTCTTCAATTTTTACCCTTTCAATAAAATTCAACAATTTTTCTCTAAATTCTAAATTCAGTTTCCATTAAATTGTTAATTTTTAATTTTTGCATTCCAATAAATTAAGATAAAAGAGAAACACTTAAAATAAATTTACCAGGCGACCGTAGATGGCGATTGGGAAATCACAGCGGACGCAAAAATGCACTCGCTCGCCAAGCTGACGCCGCGACCTACGGCCCACAGTCTTGACAACGGTAGCAGCAGTTGCACCCCCAATGCCTTTTGCAACAGGAAGATCAGCCAGTACAAGATGGTCCGGGCAAGCAACCGTCACTGTCTCTGCCAGTAAGGATTTCACCACAGCCCCTCCTCCACCAGCTGCAGCAGCAACACCACCACCACTTTCTGAAGATGCTTTGCTAAGTCGAATCAGCATCTTTGCTTCAAACCCTAATCAAACAGAAATTATAATTGGAATTTTCTTCAAATAGGGAAGGCTCTGTATTCTGTTTAAGCAAAATTTTCGTGTAATTGTAAACGACGGCACGTGTCGGTAAAGTGGCTCCAACTACTTGTCGTTTCTCATGCTAATAATAAAAAATTCTCAAATATCCGTTTACACAAAAATTAAGTGGATATATATTGTGATATAGCAAAACTAAGAAGTTTATTACGTAAAAAATAATAATATACTCCAGTCCTAATTATGTTAACAACAAGTAATAGAAACATGAGAGAAATTCAAAAAGAAGCATATGTTACAGCTAGTTTAGTTTAAAAAATGATAAATTGAGTTTGAATTAATACAAAAACTGATCTTAAATTATTTACTATTTATAACAAGTAATGAAAATAGTGAATATTTATTTTGAATTGAAATAAATTTATCTTTTTATTCAATTAAATAAAAATAAAATGAATATTTAGTCTATTAACTCCTTATAAACTAGTACCTTAGAAACAAGACAAGTAAAAAAAAAAATCATGACCTCATACAACGACGGACGAGTCCTAAATGTTTTATTTACAAGTCTTGTTTTTATTGCACTACTCTGTGGATGAATTGATAAACGGTTTAACATAATTTATTTATCAATTATTAAAATTATAATAAAATAAGATTTATGTTGTCAACTTACATTATTTGTTATTTAAAGTATTAAGTTTTGAATAAAATTAAATAGATTAATTTTGAAGCACTCTTACATGAACTGTTGTCGTTTAGAAGGAAATTACCTCTGTGGGCTTGCCACAAGGTTCTATGTTAATTTGCCTACCCTATCGTAATCATCATATTCTGCTTCATTTGCATGTAAAGTGCGTAAAAGACGATGTGTTGAGATTTAACTTTCAGGATGTACTAAACTTTTTGTTTATATATATATATAAAACTTACGCTAATAATAAATACGCGATAATACATTAAAAAAATATTTGCTTGTGTTTGTCTTAAAAAAACAATAAAAAATGCTTGCATGATACCTCGTAAGAAGTCTTAAGGAAAAGATATGATGCGATAATCCATCTTAAAAATAAAATAAAATTAGTAGTTTATATATATATATATTTGAGATCAAGAGAAATAGTTTTAAGTTAAATATCAGGGGGTGAATTTATGGATTAAAAATAATATATTGATTATTATAGATTTGATAATTATGTTTAGATATCTCGACGTTTGTTTGAATCAGGATAGATCCTACAACTCTTTCAATTCTCGAACTGATCATGGCTAATTTCAGAGGCCGTCACGTATGTGTAATAAGATAAAGAGAATGGTGGATTATCTCATATTGGTTGTAAAAGAGAGTCAATATTTAATTATAAATATAATGAAAGGCCTTGTTTCTTGCACTATCTTTTAAGATTAAAAATATCCAACAGCACCTAACAAATTGGGGTCAGAGTTTACGTTTTTAATAATTTTTTATGTGTCAGAAAATGAGAAATAACCAATGTAGAGTTTGATGAATGGAAAAAAAAAATTGGAATGAAAATAACCAATTTAAAATTCTCCGTATAAAAAGAAAATTATTGGGAAAAGAGACTGCATGTTTGGTTATAAGCGTAAATAAAACACTACTCTTAAGCTAACTTGAACTCGGAACGTACTGTAGAAAGGAATACTTTAACATGAAGCTCGATTATAATCAATTCTCAGAAACTGCAAAATGTAATTTAATAATATTACAGGATATTGACACACATGAATTTTATTTTGCACTGAAGGAGATATGGCCTCTCAGCCACAAGTCAATTGACAAACTTCTTCCATGTTTCAGAGAAGCTTCAACTTCGCAAAGACTATCCTTATAATTTATCAAAAATTTAAAATTCTCTCTCTTCATCTGATTTTCTTTTTCTAAGTGCAATATTATATTGTGGTCGGCCCTTCTCTTTATAAAGGGCGTTCTTTGGAGAACTTGTTTGTTTGTCATGCATAAATAAATATATAGTACTATAGATATCATGGATATAGAGGTCATTATTATCATAACTTTCTCTTCAATCTTCTTTTTGTGTGTTGTTTCAAAATTGTTCTGCAAATCTGGAAGCTGCCGGTGCTCCGTTGATGGAGACATGGACTTAGAAGGCGTTGGTGGTGATCTTGCCAGGGGAGGTCATCACGGTGCACTACAAAAAATTTGATAAATAGCAACGAATTTTAGCAACGGACTTCAAGCTGTCATTAAATATCATCAGATTAGCATGTGGCAAATTTAATGACAAAATAGAGACCAATTTGCAACTAATTATCAACGAAGGATAAATTCTCGTCGTTAAGTATGGCACCAAAAACTACTCGAGACTTTTAACGATAGATTAGAAACGAATTAACTATAGAAATTAGCGACCGGTTATTAGTCTCGTTGCTAAAATTTTTTAGCTTTTAGCGATGGCCAATCCGTCACTCAAAAATCGCTATTTAGCAATGAGAATATTCTCATCGCTAAATGTTGAATTTTTGGGCAGCATTTGCAAATTCAAAGGCCACACCAAATGTCACTATTTAGTAACGGACACTAATATTCATTATTAAATAGTGACGGATAAATGATAAAAACATGCCCATCGATAATCTGCTTTCCTTTAAATCCGAGCGGTAGCCCCTTCCCCCTCATTTCCCCCTTTTTCTCTTCCTCCTTAAGCTACCACCCTTACCTCAACCCCTCAAATCCTCCACAAAACTTCTCTAATCTACTCCTCATCAATCCACAACCTTTTCAAACTCGTTTTTTTGTTTATTTTGTCCAATTTCACCCGAATTAGGTAAATTTTTTATTTCTTTTATTTTCTTAATTAATGTTAGTAATTTATTGTAATTATTAGGTCAATTTTAAGTATAATTACGTGATTATAATTGTGTATATAATTACTTGTTAGTTTGTTGACTTATTTGTTAAATTGTTAATTTTCGTTAATTTGTTGGGTTAATTTGTTGAATTGTTGAATTTTGTTAATTGTTAGGTTAATTTTGATAATTAAATATAATTTAAATTTAATCAAAATTAATTCATAATTAATTAAGTTTATTTTTATTATTGTTAGTTAATTAATTAGGTTAATTATGTTTAATTGATTGAATTAAAATAAATTACTTAATTAAATGTAATTTGTTTTGCTAATTAAGTTAATTTAGTTATTATTTTAAATTTAATTTGGTTAGAATTAGAATTAATTAAGTTAATTTGAATTTTTTTAATTAATTAATTAGGTTAATTATGTATAATTGGTTGGATTAGAATAAATTAGTTCCTTAATATTTAATTTGTTAATTAAAGGTATTTTTTTAATTAAGTTAATTTAATTATTATTTTAAATTTAATTAATTTGATTAGAATTAGAATTAATTAAGTTAATTTGAATTATTTTTAGTTAATTAATAAATTAGGTTAATTATGTTTAATTGGTTGGATTAGAATAAATTTTTTAATTAATCATTAATTTATTAATTTAATTTAATTTTTTTGTCAATTAAGTTGATTTAATTGTTACTTTAAATTTAATTTTTTTAGAATTAGAATAAATTAAGTTAATTTGATTTATCTTTAGTTAATTAATTAATTAGGTTAATCATGTTTAATTGGTTGGATTAGAATATATTTTTTAATTAGTTGTGATTTTGTTAATTAAATGTAATTTTTTTTAATTAAGTTAATTTAATTTGGTTAGAATTAGAATTAATTAAGTTAATTTGATTTATGTTTAGTTAGTTAATTAATTAATTAATTAATTATGTTAATTTCATTTAATTGGTTGAATTATAACTTTATTTATATTAAAACTTGTTCATTTATTGTTATTTTAAATTTAATTTGGTAAGAATTAGAATTAACTAAGTAAACTTGATTTTTAATTAATTAATTAATTGTGTTAATTGTGTTTAATTGTAATTTTATTTATAATAATACTTGTTAATCTATTATTATTTTAACTTTAATTAGATTAGAATTAGAATTAATTAGTTTAATTATTTTATATATAATTACCGAAATGTGTCGAGATACGCGGTAGTATATTGAACCTAAGGGGTCGAAGATTCTCAAGAATTTTTAAAAAAATAAGCTTGGTTCAATGCTCTACGATGGAGCTGGAAGGAAGAGTTTGTGATTTAATTTCGATAAAATATCCGAGATAATTATTGATTTCAATGTGCGTAATATTTGTATGATCATTTGGTATATTTGTTAACTAGAAATGGTGCAATTTACATGAGAGAGTCTATCAAAATTTGGTTAGATGTTTAAAAAATTTTGTGTGATTGTTTGTTGTTTCAATTATAAGTTTCTAAAATTATTTTAGTCCCATAGCTATTGCACTTATGGTTTTAGCAACTAAAATTTGCATTTTTTATTTTATCTTACGGCTAATTTGTTTGTGATCATAATATAAATATAAAAAGAAAGAAAGAAAGAATCAAGTTTGCTCTGTTAAGATCAATAGCAACATAGCTTCTTTTTTTAAAAAAAAAAAAAAAGGAAGAAGGAGGAGAAGAATCAATTTTTCTACTCAAAACAATAACAAACCAAGACTTGAACATCATTTTTGCATTAGCTTTGAATGGTACCAATATAAACTTCAAATTGTGTCTTCCTATTCTCAAACATACTTCTTATGAATTGTGGTAGTTCAACTCGGTGCTAATTGTATTACTTCGTCCCAAAAATGTGTCCAAGTTAGATATATTCAACTTCTTTCTAGTGTAATTTTGTTAATTAAATTTAATATTTTTGTTAATTAATTTTATTTAATTGAAATAAGCTAGTAAAGCTGATAGCATGCGGACTTAGTTGGAAAGAGTTATGAGGTTGTTAGATACCCTCCGACCACCTCTCATCCCTCATGTTTATCCTCTCACAACTCAGCGATCAGTCATTCATTTTAACGGCTAGTAGTCAAAAGATGATGTAGAAGATGATGATAATGAAAACTAAATTTCTTTTTAAAAAAATTAATAATTTTGTACATTTATATATTAATTTTATTTTAATTTATATAAATTTTATTTTATTTAATAATATAGCGTGTTTTAATAAGATGTTATTTATATTTGTTTGTTGTTACAATTATTAATAAATGATAATTAATTAAAAAATAAAAAATAATAGCGATGAATGAATTCCCACTAAATAACGACGAAATTGTGAGGATATTAGCAACAACACAATCCATTGCTATTTAGCGACAAAAATAAGCAAAAATAATGATGATTAGTGATGAATATGAGACGTCAAAAATAATTGATTAAAAATCATTTAGCAATGGAATATCAACAAAATAGCAACGGATTTTTCATCGTTAAACAACAATGGAAAAAAAAATTTTCAATGCTAAAAAAATAGTGACCATTACTTTGGCGACGGATTGAATTTGTCTCTAATCCGTTGCTAATGCTATTTAGCAACAGATTTTTGACAATTTTGAGACATAGCGTCAGAAAAATCCATCACTTGTTTAGCAAATTTCTTATAATGATGGTGGAGATGGTGGAGGCCATCATGGTGGTGGAGATGGCAGAGGTGACGAAGAAGATGTAGGGGGAGGAGGATGTGGTGGTGTAGGATACGGAGGAGGTTAAGATGGTGGAAGGGGATGTAGGGTGGTTATTGATATCAAGTGATCATTCCAGAGCATGGAGTAATATAAATATATATTAGCTTTGGATTGGTGGAAATAAGAAACAAAGTTACTATAACACTAAAAGATCTGAGAAAAAAATAATAGTATTTTACACTGTTCATTTGAAACACCGAATGCGGCTTAGCTTGCCTTTTTTTTTTTTTTTTTTTTTTACATCTGGTATAACTGCGTTTTTAGTTTTTTAGTTTACAATGTTCATTTACTGTTCACTTGAACAGTAAATGCGGCTTAGTTTTTTTTTTTTTATCTGGTATAACTGGGGCTTAGGTTTTTCAGTTTTTTTACTTTCATTTGAACAGTAAATGAGGCTTAGGTTTTTTCTGCGTTTTTAGTTTTTTAGTTTACACTGTTCATTTGAACAGTAAATGCGGCTTAGGGTTTTTTTTTAAAGATCTGGTAAAACATAAAACTAGATACTTTTTTTTTCTATGATGGGTAGAAGTTAATTTGTGGGACCCGTTTCTTTAAAAAAAACACTAAAAGATATGGTAAAACATAAAACTATATTTTTTTACATGATGGTAGGAGTTAATTCGTGGGACCCACTTTTCATAAAACTATATTCTTTTTGCATGATGGTAGGAGTTAATTTGTGGGACCCACTTTTTATAAAAAAATATTTTTGATCTCTAATGTTTTAAATTTTTGAACAAAAACATATATTGAAAATTAATCTTTTATATTTATCGTTTATTATAAAATTCTCATGAAATTAAATTTTTTATGAAATTTTATTTTTTTGATAAATATGATTTTTTTTTAGTTTTATTAAAAATTAATTATGTACCTACATCCATAACACCATTAAATCCTTCGATTCAAAACTATTTTTTTTGTCATTTTTCCAATTTCAATATTTTTATTTTTTGTTTTAAAAGATAGAGAAAGACTAAAAAATATAAGAAAAATATATAAAATACTTTTTAAAAATAAAAAATAAGTTATTCATGGTCAATGCTAATAAAAAAATTAATTCATTAATTTTTTAAAACGAGATGAACTAATTTATTATTTAATTAATAATTTAAGAATCTCTTTCATCATAAATTAAGATGTAAGATTTATGGGAATCAATTTTGTAGTAGTTTTTATTTCAAATTATTGATTTTAATATATTCCATACAACTTCAATGATTTTTTAAAAAAATTATTTATATTATATACTCGAATCTACTAAGTATGATATATATAATTATTTTTGTTAAAAATTAATTAATTAATTATATATATATATAACACTAATTATTTGTAATTTATTCTTTTTTATATTCTAAAATTAATATTTTTAAATAAAATAATTAATATATATATAATTAGTTTTGTTAAAAATTAATTATGTATCTTCATACATAACACTAATTATTTATAATTTATTCTTTTTTATGTTCTGAAATTAATTTACATTAATTATGAAAAATAAGATTTTTATCCACATTATACCATACAAATCGTTGACCTTAATACATGATTGTTTGATCGCAGCATAGCACATATATCTAACTCGTTGGATACTAAAATATATTTATCAATTTGCTTGTTTCATGAAAATGTATGAGTATAAATGTTAATAAAATCATTGAATAAAATCTTGATATCTTGTTGAGGGAAAATTTACTTCAAAGCAAAAGCAAGTACTGTATTTATATTATATAATTCATACGTACTTGTTTGTTACTATTGGCGAGCTTGTCTAGAGTAAATTATAAATTAGTCCTTAGAAATGAATTAATTAGCTTTTTTTTAAAAAAAAAAACTAATCATTTACTCTTTTTATCAATTTTTTGTTAGATTAGTGATTTTTTTTTCTAAATTATTCTTTTTTTTTAATCTCTTGTTATGGAGAGAGAAAGAAAGTAAGTGAAAAAGAGAAATAAAGGATCAACAGAATGACAATTTGAAAAAAAAAATCTAACAAAAAATTGATAAAAAGATTAAATTATTAATAAAATTAAAATATAAAAAACTAAATAATTAGTTTTTATAACAAAAAAGACTAATTAATTTGTTTCTCAAAACAAAAGGACTAATTTATAATTTACTTATGAGTTTACTCTGTTTTTTTTCCACCCATACATTTTTATTCGGATGTTTTGCGGCAAGTGTGGATTTTACTCACTTTTATTAGTAATAAATTTATCTTGGTTTATAAAATAAATAAATAAATAAAAAGCGTTGATGGCAACTAAATGAATTATGAGGAAAAGATAAAAGAATTTTTTATGTTATTTTTCAATTTTTATAGGGATTAGAGATTTTAGTAAAGTGAAAATGTTGATTATTCAAAAAGCATTTGAAATCAGTACTATTTTTTTCTTTTAACTCTTTAAATCAATTGGATTATAGAATCAGATTCGACTAATACTATTTTTTTATCAGCATATTTTTTATGATAGATCTTGAAAGTTTCAAAATAATTTTAATATCATTTCAAACCTAATTTTGTTTGTATAATCAATTTCTTAGTCTCGTATTTTTAGAGAAAATAACTTTAAACTGGACTTTTTAGCTAATGTCTAATCTCCATAGATCGAACTTCTTTCGTTGATTATAATCTTCTTTTTTTCAGCTAACTTCCAGCCTAGCATTTATCTTTAATATAATCTTTGATTTTATTTTTTTTAAAAAAAACCCTAAGTGAACTATGACAAAAAAAAAAAAAAAAAAAAAAAAAATTATAAAGTAGTTTTTCTCGTTTCGAATAACAAAATAATTATTTTTTTTCATTTTAAAAAATAATTATTTAGTCCTCTATGTTTCTATTTCGTTAACAATTTAGTTATTTTATCAATTTTTTGTTAAATTAATGATTTTTTTTCTAAATTGGCTTTTCTTTTGATGTCTTATTTCTCTCCTCCATCCACTTTTTCTTTCTTTCTTTTCAATCAAAAATTAAAGAAAAGGCAATTTGAAAGAAAAAATCAATAATCTAATTATAAAAAAAACTAAGTTATTGATATAACTAAAATACGAAGGATCAGATGATTAGCTTTTAAAAAAATTAATTAATTCATTTCTCTAAGAGAGGGAATCATTTATAATTTATTGGAGAAGCTTTTGGGTCCAATTTTTTTTGAAAGATTTTGTACGATTTGGCATGATTTAGCGGTAGTTTTTGTGGTGGGAGAGTTTGAAAATTTGGGCCAAAGAACTAAGATTTTCCATAGTAAATTTTAAAGCTCTGAACAATTTTTTCTCCAGCTCAAATGAGACTCTATATCACACCAAATTAATTACAGAGGAAAGGACCTCAAATTCTCGTTTGACCCAGAACAAACTAGTGACAGCAGCGTTGGCAATATTATCAGTGCAGCTGGGCAGGATCACATGGGCGGAGTATTGGGCGGCATGTGAGATCCTTGTCAACCAACATTGGAGCTGGGGGAGGAAGCGCCTTGGCCTTAAGTCTTCCACAAGAATCTGACCTATGCCTTAGAAGCCCACAGTTGTGGCACATGGTAATATTATCCTCAAACAGTCTTTTTCCAGGATCCTTCTTTGGATGGACCAACCCAAAGCCTAGAAGACAAAGTCTGAGTGACAGATTATCATTCGAAAACTCCTGTAATAAATACATCAATTTTAAATTTTTTTCAATTAAATATATCAAATTTTATTTTTTAGTATTGAATATACCGATCAAATTTTTCCATCTAATTTTTCATTTAATAATAATGTAATAATTAACATAAAACTAAATAACTATGTTACCTTTTTTTTTCTTTTATACTCTCTAATTGTTATTATTATTTAATTATTAATTAAAAAAGCAAAGCATTAGGAAGGAAAAAAGAAAAAATAAGGCATCATTTAATATTTTTTGTTAACTATTACATTGGACAAAAAACATGATTAATATTTTCAAAAAAGTTAATATACTAAAAATAAAAAAATAAAAATTAATATCCTCAATTGAAAAAAAAATTCAAAATTAATGCATTTATTATAGAATTTCCCAATTATACACAATAAAATGCACATTAAAAAAACTTATTATTTACCATTCAAGTTAAATACACCTCATTGAAACATTTGACCATTTCTCAAGCAAAAAAAAAATAAGTAAAACATAAGAACCCTATATAATAATTATTAGATAAAAAAAAAACACTAGAAATACATGAAAAAAACATTACACAAATTAAAATTCCCTGCAATCCTGGTCAAGCTCTAAAAATCCTCATCCATCTTAAACTCATGAGTCCCACCATTTCCATTAATACTATGCATAACTGAAGCCTTTTGATACTCTCCAACTCTTTTCTCAAAGAAATTAGTCTTCCCTTGCAAAGAAATCAACTCCATCCAATCAAATGGATTAGCCGCATTATACACCTTACCGCACCCAAGCGCACCCAGCAGTCTATCGGCTACAAACTCAATATACTGACTCATCAATTCCCCGTTCATCCCCACCAAGGCACACGGCAGCGCGTCAACCACAAACTCCTTCTCAATTTCCACAGCATCCTTCACTATTGCCTTCACGCGCTCCTCGCTCAACTTCGTCCTTAACAAGCTGTAGAGGAGACACGCGAAATCACAGTGAAGCCCTTCATCTCGCGAGATCAATTCGTTTGAGAAAGTCAAGCCTGGCATTAACCCACGCTTTTTTAACCAAAATATCGCACAAAAACTCCCCGAGAAAAATATCCCTTCCACGCAAGCAAAAGCAATTAACCTCTCCGCAAAACTCTCGCCGCCGTCAATCCACCGCAAAGCCCAGTTGGCCTTCTTAGCCACACACGGCACCGTTTCCATAGCATGAAACAGACGGTTCTTTTCATCGGGATCCTTTATGTAAGTCTCCAACAAAAGACTGTACATCTCGGAGTGGATATTCTCAATGGCGATCTGGAACCCGTAGAAAGCACGCGCCTCCGAGACTTGGACTTCTTTCATGAACCGTCCGGCGAGATTCTCGAGGACGATTCCATCAGAGGCAGCGAAGAAGGCAAGGACGTGAGAGATGAAGTGTTTCTCGTCGGGAGTTAGGTTTTCCCACTGACGGACATCTGAAGAGAGATCGACCTCTTCAGCCGTCCAGAATGAGGCTTCAGCTTTCTTGTACATCTCCCAGATTGATGGGTATTGAATTGGGAACATACAGAACCGGTCTGGGTTTTCAACGAGGAGAGGTTCTTCTGGGATTGCAGGCATTTTTGCAAGCTTGTTTCCTTTGAAGAGAGAAATTAGGGTTTTTGTTGAAGATAGAAATTAGGGTTTCGTTTGGGTTTTAAGTGGTGAGTAGAGGAGACTGCGTGGGTGTGGTTTTTTATAGGTGAAAATGGGGAGAGAGAAAGAGGGAGAGTTTTGAAATTTTAAGAGGAGCGGCGGGGAATTTGAATTTTGTGTGAATTTTTAATCAGAAGCTTGCGGGAGAATGAACTTGGAGGCTGAAACTGTACAAAGCAAGGGTAGTTTTGGGATTAAAATTAATAAGTGATGTGGTAGGTTTTAATTGGTAGCTGGGTTTCAATATGGACCATGATTTTAGTGGAGGGTAGAATGGTCATTTTAACATGTTTATTCAGATTTCGGTTTTTATTAGCGAATTGTTTTTGAGTTTAATTGCATAATTTACCTCAGACTATTCAAATGATATATTATCAATCTACACTATTTGGACCTCAAATTATTAATATTATCAATCATAATGTTGAGCATTAACCAAAATACATAAAACGAAGTCATTATAATCAACTATACATCATTAATTGTTCCATAACAAAAATAAGCTCAATAAATAAATAAATAATCATCTAAATTTTTTTAAAACTTATTATTATTAGATATTTTTTCAAAATTAATTTTAATTTAAAAAATATATAAAACGTTGTTTTAAATATTTTGTTTAGTGGTCGACATTCAACTGTTAGCCATAATGAAGAAAAAATACTATCCAAAAATTAAAAATTTGAGATTTAAACAATCCAAATTATGCTATTAAACCATTGTTTTTTAGTTTTGGTACTAATAAGTCCGGATTTTGATGGAGGGTATGGTGGGAATTTGGAGAAATTTGTGTGAGATTTACAGAAATAGAATGGAATCTTCTTATGGCATAAAATTGAATGACAAATAGAGGTTAAATAGGAAATTAGGGATTAAAATTAAAATAAAATTTTAAAGATTTGGAAGGGAAAGCGTGAGAGGGAAGTTTTGGGATCAGTTGGGAAAAGATTTCTTGATTTTGTTTGTGGCGGGAGTTTTAGAGGTCTGAAAGGAACATACGGTTTTTAACTTAATTACGGTGGTTAAATTAAATACACAGTTTGATGGTTTTGCATGCTTGTACGTGGCAGTACACGCGTCGCACCGTGCTTCTGCCAAGATTAGGTGGATCACACATTTTTTATTTGCAACAATTCAACAGTAAACAAGTAGGAATTAAAAAAGTTCAGGTTAAGATTACAACAGTTCAGCCTCCGAATAGGTTTTTAAAAATTCTTGTTCCGAATATGTATTCCATCACTCGTCTCGTGCAATCACAACAGCTAACAAATGACATCATTTCCTTCGTGTAAGATGTGATGTGAGTAGATACGAATATAATACGAGATGAGTAGTTATTTTATTTTTAAAGATTAATATAATCTCGTATAATTAGGGGTGTTCGTTCGATAATTCGGTTCGGTTTTGAACTTTTTTTATCGGTTTTTGGTTAACCGAATTATCTAAAAAAATAACAATAACCGAACCGAATTATTATTCGGTTTTTCGGTTTGGTTTTGAAATATATCGATTTTTTTATTCGGTAATTCGGTTTTCACCTTTAATTAATACTCAATATCACATGTTGATTCGATCGATAACTTAATTAAAATTGCATCGATTTCATAATCTCAAAATTAATTCAAAGATCAACTTTTTTTAATGACAAACCATAATAACACATAGACCCCATCCAAATTTTAAATAGACTACAATGCTACACTATTCTCTACGCTTTAATAGTGAAAAAGTAAGAATGTCAAACAACAATTCAATTTCAAGTATGCAACAAAATAAAAAGTTAAAAACAATAATTCAAGTATTCAACATTCCCAGATTACCAAGTAACATAAGTAATTTATAAAAGTAAAAGCAACAAACCAACAACAAGAAAGCAACAATAAGAAGCCAACAATACAAAACTAAGTCACTAATAACTTGCCAAGTAAAATAATTCAAAAAACTCCAATAAGTCACAACTCACAACCACAAATAGACAAGTTCAAGGCTTTAAGCAAAAGGTTCACTAAATGACAAATTCCGCAAATAAAAAAAAAATGTCAATTCTATAAATATAAAGGCATTTACAAACATACATGGACACACACAAAGATAATTCATTATAAATTTACCCATGTCACTCAAAAGATCAAACCACCATCCATTTATCATATATCTATCATAAGTGCATCCGTTGATAGTTTTAATAAATCCGAAAAAAAAAATCAACACTTTAAGTCTTTAATATTAATTTGGAAGGAAAAAAGACAAATAAAAATATAAGAATTGAAAAACTTATCGACTTCAAGTTTCTCAACATCTTGCAAATCTTCTTCGGTAGTAATTGGCATCGAATTTCGAAGCCAATCTTGAGCACATACAAGAGCTTGCACAATGCTATAAGTTAAAGAAATCCTAAAGGCATCGAGAACTCTTCCTCCAGTGCTAAATGCTGATTCCGAAGGAACGAGTAGATATTGGAACGATCAACACATCACGAGCCATTTTTGAAAGGATAAGAAACTGAAGAGAATTGTTTTTCCACCACTCCAAAATATTAAAATTTTCATCTTCAATTTCGACTGATTCACAAAGATACTTATCCAAATCGATCTTTTATCTCTATCTTCACTTTCATTGAATTTTTGAAATAATGACATCCTCGCAAGTGTCTTGTTTTTTTTTCTTTATGGCATGATTGGTGTCCATTTCATCACTTACACTTGAAACTTCGTAATCCCATTACTTTGACCACTAAGACTTTGATTTGGTAATAAATTACAATATGAAGCATACAAGGCATATGTACATTATTTCACATCATTTGTCATCTTTTCTCCAAGGCAATCACCATGCAATTTGTTTAATGTAAATGCAACATAAGTAAGTTTATGTGTTGGATCAAGCACAGCTCCAATATAAATCAACTTATTCATTTTCTTCATATCCTCCCAATACTTATCAAATTTTTCTCTCATTTTACTAGCCATTGAACAAGTATCATCATCGGCACACTCTTGTCATTGTCTCAAATCAGCTTCAAGCGTACAAATTTCATCAAAATAATTATTAGAAGTGACATATGAATGACCCGAAATAGACAAAGTAACATCATAGAAATTTTTCAATATTGTCACCATTTTCCTACAAGTCCTCCAATCTCCGACACTAGGTGGCCTAAATGCCCCATCACTAAGATCCACATTAAGTTCAATACTATATAAATGATCAATTTGCTCATATCTCTTAAATGCTCTCTCAAACTTTGGAGCTGAATCTAACATTAAATAAATTGAATTCCATCTAATTGAAACATCTAGATGTAATAAACTTTTAGAATCAATCTTTTCAATCTTTATGCATTTCTTAAATTTTCTCAACCTAGCGGGAGATTGTCTAATATGCCTCACAACTGCTCGAACACGAAGGATTTGTATTTTTAACCCATCGAAACAACAAGATTCAAAATATGAGCCATACACCTCATGTGAAGTGATTCCCCATCTAAGATGCTATTACCTCAATTATTCAAAACATCTCTCAAATATCTAATCATCACATCATTTGAACTTGCATTGTCTACGGTAATAGTGAAAACTTTTTCAATTCTCCAATCAATCAAACACTTTTCAATAGTACTACCCAAATCAATACCCTTATGACTATCAAACGGATAAAAATTTAGAATCTTTTTATGCAACTTCCAATCATTGTCAATAAAATGAGTTGTTAGACACATATAATTAATTCTATGAATAGACGTCCATGTGTCCATAGTAAGACAAACTCTTCGATAATTATTTTTCAAAAATTGGTTCAACTTTAATTTCTCATACATATAAAGTTGATAGCAATCTCTTAAAATGGTAACCCGTTATGGAATTTTAAACCTAGGTTGTGCAATTGACATAAACCATTTAAACCCTACATTCTTGACAAATTTGAAAGGAAGTTCATCCACGATAATCATGTAAGCTAAAGCATTTCTAATGTAAGTTTGATCAAACTTCCATGTGCTAAGAGTGCTTTCTCCCATTTAAACACTTGAATTAGATTGAAGGTTCAATTTGATTGGGTAAGGTCAAGCCTATGTGGGTGTTTTTTACATATGGCTATATGAGATTTAAGTGCGGTACTACCATTTCTAAGAAGATGAGCGACGAAATACCTTATCACGAGTAATTACATCTTCCCTTGATGTCTTTATTTTCATCTTCAAACTTTGTAAAATGGTCCCATACAAGTGACCTTGGCCTCATTGTTTTTCTCTTCATCTTTGTGCTCACTTGTGTGTTTGATGAAGAGCCAACAAGCAATCGTATCCGTTGTTAGACACGGTTTGGGATGAGTTGAACTCGTAACTTCGACATCCGAGGATCCTAACATCTACACAAATTCAAGAATATATTTGATTAGAAATAATTATTAAATACAAGTTTATAGTATTAAAAATTTAAATTTTAAAAGTTAAAACGAGTGGGTAGTGTCCACTCGTCAACTAGCCGACTACGGGCTTACTAGCCACTACGAGCTTACTAGCTCGTGCTCGCAGCCAATAGGCCTACCGGCTCGTACTCGCCGGCCACCCGCATGGCGGTAGGCCCATCGGCATATGCCCGAGGCCGGTGGCCACCCTACTATCTAATCCCAATTCCCAAATGAAAAAAATCAAAAGTCTTACTCATGAAAACCTAAAAGCAAATACTATATAGTCAATTACTAACTTCTTATATAGTCATATTAGGTTTCGAATGAAAAAGAGACGAAATCATAGAAACTTCAACAATAAAAGAAGTTACGGGACTCGAAGCATTAAACCCCAACAACAACCCAATGGTTTCGTTTTAATTACATAAATTTATAAATGATTCAGGAAAAAAATGAAATTAATCAAAAGTCTAGCATTTAACCACAAAAAACAATTGACCTTTTGAGTTTTGTTGGCTGGAATTGAAAGTCCGGAAGCACCGAAGCGGTGAAGGCGTGAAGCACCGATTGTGAAAGTCCGAAAGAGAAGGATGAAGTTCGAACTTTGAAGGAAGCAGGTAGAAGCGAGGAACTCGGGAGTCATGAATGAGTCAAGGAGTAAGAACTTAGGGAGAGTGGGAGACGGACGGGAGTTAGGGTTTTAGTCTTTTGATGTTTTATAACTTTTGTTACTTTTGTAAGCTAAAATTTAACTTTGCTTAAAATTCGATTTCGGTGGAAACCGAATGTGTTTTAAAAAAAACCGAACCAAACCGAAATAATTTTGGTTTCTCGGTTCGTTTTTTTATTATATATTTTTTAAAAAAACCGAACCGAAATTGTTAATTCGGTTCGGTTTGGTTCGGTATTTTGGTTTTAACCGAATAGTGAACACCCCTCCGTATGATGTGTAATATGAATTTTTAAAGATTATATATATAATTTTTATAATCAAATAAAATTTATGAATTTTTTTAACTAATTATGAATTTTTTTTAAAACAAACCATGAGTCAAGTTATTTTTTAATTGATTATTATTTTTTTAAAAAATTAAGTTAAGTTATCTAAAACACACTTTTAGCTCTCTGTTTCTCTCTCTCATCAAAATTTATAAATGGAGCTACATTACTCTCATTTAAAAATCATAAAAATAATTAATCGTACAAATTATAATAATATATTTAAAAAAATAAAACAATCATATTTAAAAATTTTATTTCAAAATCCATATAAAAAAATCAAATTTATTAACAAATAAAACTATATAAAATAAAAAAATTAATTCGATGAAAGTAATTTTAAAAATAAATATAATATAATCGATATATATATATATATACATATATATATATATATATATATACATGTATATATATATATATATAATCAAACTAAAATCTAAACAACTATCGTATATATTCTATTATCATCAAACTATACGTAAAATTAAAAAAATAACGATCTTTTTTTATATTTTCACACCTAATTTTATGATAAAAAATAAATTATTGGAAAGAAAAAAAAAAGACAAAGGCTAGCTAGGATTGTCCGTGCGGACACTGGGAGACAAGCCAAGCCTCGCTTGAGCTCGCGACCGACCCTTAAAAAAAAAAAAAGCTACGGTAAATGGCTATAAGCCATGCTAAGCTGCAAGGCCGACTTTATAATATATATGGCCTAGGCAAAAGAATATTTTAGAGACTCTTTCTTAAAATAAATAAATATTAAACATTATTTAAAATTTATTTTTCTTGCTTTCCGAGATGCAAAATCTCTAATTAAATTTTTGTATTCAAGTTTAAAAAGAAAATCTTTTTCAATTGATAATATAACCAAATTACTTAATCTTTCTTGTGACATAGTTGAACGTAAATAAGATTTTATTAATTTTAATTTTGAAAAACTTCTTTCGATCGAAGCTACGGTAACAGGAATAATTAATAGTATTCTATATGCTATCCATGCATTTGGAAAAAAATTTACCTTTTTTATAAAATTTAGTACGACAAGTGGTGTTTTCATTTCCATAGTTATAATTTCTTTTAAAACTTTTAATTTTGAAAATAAATATAAACCATCAATATCGAAAGCATATCGTGCTTTAGAAAGTTTTCAAGATTTAAATAATTTTTTTCAAAATATCATCATCGAGTGATTTTAATTTTTCTACACTATAAAGAAAACCAAAATTATCTTCATATATTTTAAATTGTTCAAACCTATTTTAAAGAGAGAAAATCGCATGATCAACTAAATATATAAAATAATTAATTCTAAAAGATTCTTCAATAGATAATTTCATGTCTTCATTTTCAATTTCATCAAATTGTTTCTTTCTTCTTATTGTACGCTTTTTAAGAAATTTTGGTTCTATATTCATTTGCTCTGTAATTTCTTTAGCCAGGATCATAGAAGATGTAAACTCATTTTCTCTATAGCTTTTAAAAAAAGAAATAAGACCTTTCAAGTAATCTATTGCAAGAGCAATATCCATATCTTTAGATTGTAAATATTTACTAATCGTATTAATAACAAACAACATATCATACCAAATAATCAAGCCTAATAGAAATTTAAAATTTTCAATCTCATATGTTGCTAAAGAAATAGCTTCACCTTTTGTTTTAGGATCCTCACTAGTTTCTACTAATTGATATAAAGCATCTCTTATTTGTTGAGTTTGAAATCTAATTGCTTTAACACTTTCAATACGACTTTCCCAACGTGTTTGTGATAATGGCTCAAGTGTCAAATTAGAAACTTAATCTTGCAAAATTTTTCATCTTTTTGTAGAAGAAGAAAATAATGAATATATACGTTGTGTCACTCCAAAAAATGTCATATCACTAGCACATGAATTAGCCATATCACAAATAACTAAATTAAGATTGTGACAGATCACATGGTGTATAAAATGCTCTAGAATTTATATCTAATAATCTTTTTTGTACACCTTGATGTTTACCTTTCATATTAGACCCATTATCATATCCTTGTCCTCTCACATCATTTACGTCAAGTTCAAGAGTTTTTATCTTACTTGTAAGTTTATTAAAAAGACTTTCACCGGAGGTATCATCCACTTTTAAAAAATCCGTAAAATACTCTTCTATTTTTATTGAAATTATCGAAATATCTACACATCTTAATATAAGATACATCTCGTTCTTGATGACTTGCATATGTAGTACAATCAAGTATACCTGAAAATATTTTGATTCTTTGATTTTTTTGATAATGGTATTTCTTATTTCTAATGCTAAAATATTTATCAACTCATTTTTTATATTATGACCAAGATAATGCATATGAATATCTCCATTTTGAATACATCTAAGGTGTTCTTGCATTATTGGGTCAAACTCAGCAATCATTTCAATTAAACTCAAAAAATTTTCATTATTGTCCCGATAAATCTTCTCATTTGTACCACGAAATGCCAAATTATTTTTTGAAAGAGCTTTTACAACAGTTTTAATTCTTAATAATACATTCCTCCAATGCTCTTTCTCTTTATTTATTTTCTCTTGTAAATGCTTATGAATTGTTTTGTTTTTAAGCAATCTCATTTGAGCATCAACCCAAATGTTCATATTAATAGCATGTTCATTACTTGTCTCGTGACTTTTAAGTTTGGCACTAAGATTTTTCCAATCTCTACACCCTTCATTTGCTAATTGAATATTTGATTTCAAACTAAATAATTTACAACAATAACAAAACATTGTTATCTAACTCTTTTGAATAGACTAGCCATTTTCTATCATGTTTTTCTCTCGTTTGGTAATTTTCGAATGTAATGAACTATAGAAAAATGTCTAGAGTTTTTATCTCTTGAAAAATCTAAAATTTCTCTAATTGGACTTCTCAACTAATAAATTAATCGAGTTTTGAGTCTAAATTTTTCCATTGTGCCTGGATCGTAAATATTTTTAATTATTGTTGCATCTTCATCATTAATATTTTCACTTTTATTGATTGAAACATCACCTTCTAAATTTTCATCATATTCTTCATTACTTTTTGGTGAATTTGAATTGTTATCTTCAAATTTTTCTTTACAATTTTCAACTATATTTTCATTTAAATCTTTATCTTGTTCTTCTAGTATTTGAGGTTTAATATTAGTAACAAATCTATCAAGTGCATCTTTTTAGGATTAATTAGTTCTTCTATCTTTCTTTTTTTTTTTACTTTTTTCATATTCGATTCATACTTTCTAGTAGACATTTTATTCAAATAATAAAATTAAAATATAATTATAAAAAGAATAAGAAACTTTGGCACTTGATTATATTTGCTTGCCACACCTAATCAATTAAACCCGGAGAGAATCACCTAAGAAAATAAAAAGAAATTTGAGAAAAAAATAAAATATTATATGATCTATATACATAATTTTATTTGCATAAATTAAAAAATTACCTTTAGATTTTTATGCTAAGCTAATTAGAAAAAGTTTTATAAGAGATCCTCGATTGTTTGGAGAAAGAAAGGAATGTAATAAAAAAAATTTAGAGATCTAAAAATTGTTTTACTCACAAATATTTTTCGAAATTTTTCTATAAGTAAAAGTGGAGGTGCATGACTTTTAATTTATCTCATTCTTCTAGGGTATAGGTTTAGGGTAAAATTTTAATTGGGGCTCTCCTTTCTATGAGGGCCACATGCATAGGCCTTAATGGCCTATGCCTTGAGCCGGCATTGCCAAGTTCTGCTACAATAAATGACTTTGAGCCAAGCTAGGCATCGCTTAGCCTACGACCGACCTTTAAAAAAAATAAATGCTACAATAAATAAACAGCGACACCTCTAGATATTTTATTTTTTTAGTAATAATCCACCAATCTTAAGATTCATTATTTTGTACCCCACTTTAAATCGGTGAGTGCATGCTTAGTGAGTACAAACCAATTTTTATATTTTTTTTGTTCGTAATAATTTTGAGTGGATTCTATTTTTTCCTACATTTCAATAAAAAAAAGAGTCATGTATCAATTGATATCGGTTACATTAATATTTGATGGTTTTAGGTGATGAAGTACACTCAAATAACAAAAATCAGAAATTAATTACTCAAATAGATTAAATAAAATGTTAGACATTGAAACTTAACAAAAATCAACATTGGACAATAAAGTTATTTTTTTTTAAATTTCGAGCGAGAGTTCTTTTTTATCATGTGTCATTTGATATCGGTTATGTCAATATTTAACGAGTTTCGGGTGACGAGAATGGAGTCAAATAAAAAGAAAAATCAATAATTGATCCCTCAAATTAATACATAAAATAAAAAATTATACACTCAAATAGAATAAAAATATACACTCAAAAAGAACAAAAATAAAACTCAAGACACTAAAATTACAGTTTTTTCAATAAAAATTTCATGATCCCACATAGTGAATCAAGGGTTCCCTATATTTTATTTACATATCTTGTATCTATTGTATTGATCTATGGATAAATTTGGTAAACTAAAGCTACACAATAATTTCTCATATACTAGCCTTTTCTTTTCTTTATGATAAAGTTAAGCTACGGACTGCACGAAGCATAAAACACATGTGTAAGAATTAGGCATAAATTACAAGGAATTAGTGGATTATTTAAATGGGACTTGTTTGTGTCACTTTTTCTTAATAAGATTGAAACTTAATTGCTTTTGTGGCTGAACCTTGTTGCACATCACATTTTGATGATTGATTATTAAAAAAGAAGAAGAAGAAGAAAATTTGATGTACGTTTTTTTTATAAGTGTTTTTAGTAATTAACAATGAATGTTTGTTTTAAATGTATTAATCGAAATATGAACGATAGGTGTAAAACCCAATTAATATTAGATATGTCTTTTTCCCTGTATAATTTTTTTTTATGACTAAAATGGTCTAACCATCCCTTAACTATAAGTCATTTGAAATTGATTCCCATAACCTTTTTATTGTTTTGGTGGTCCATAAACTTTATAAGTTTTGAAATCAAGTCCATTTAATTTTTTTACGTAAAACATAACAAAAAATGTGTATGGAGAAGTGGAAAACACAGTTGGCTAACTTAATCCAACAAATGATGCCTGACGTTTTTTTTATTTTTATTAAATCCTAAGCCACTTAAACTATTCTCTGTAAATTAAGATCCCTAAGTTGATTTGTTCCGTCACATAGAGGAGGGGAAATTTAGGAGGTTTGGGAGTAGTTTTCAGGCGATGGTGGTGTTTTGGCTGGAGGGAGATTGACGATGGATGTAGGGGTGTTTGTTAGTATAGGTGGCAATGGTTGTTGATGGTTGGGGTTTGATGTAGCGTCTCGACAAATGAAAACTGATTGTTCTCAACAAAAGAGTGTGATTTTGGCAGTGGGCTTAAGTTGGTGACAATGACTGTTGATGTTGGCTTTTGAGGGTTTCGTGTTAAAGGAGATGATGTTAATAGCTAGTGTTAATGGTGGCTTGAAAGGGTTCGGTGTGGATTAGGTGGTGATCGGTAGTTATTACTGGTGAAGATTCGACCTGATGCGAGGGAGGCTGGCCAGAAAAGATTTTTAAGAGAGAATGATTTTGTTTGGATGACTGGCATCTCTCTTTCGCAAGGAAGATGGTGGTTGCGGGTGTGGTCTTGGTGGCAGTGGTAGAGAGGGTAGCAATGATGGTTGACGATGGAGAAAAAGGTGGTTGACGTTGGGATGGCCGAAGAAGAGGGAAGAGATCGAGCTTTTGATCGACTGACTTTGGGAGAGAGGGGTTGCAGTTGAGGGGTTATTTTCTCTAAGGGTGTCTGGGCAACAAGAGGTGGGCCTAGTACAATTAATTGGCCGATGTGAGGGTGGATGGCCATAACTTGGGTTTCGGCTTCCACTAGTGAAGAAGGGAATTTTTTTTTTAAAAAAAAAAAACAACAATAGAATTTTTGGGGAAGAATGGAATTTTTGGTGAATTAATACAATTAATTGTGAAATTAGATATTAATTCACCATTAGTTAAAGTGGGTTAGGATTTAATAAAAAAATAGCAACTGTCATGCATCCTTCGTTATATTTAGTGAGCCATATGTATTTGTCACTGTCAAGCAACATTTGCTATTATCTATGACGGAAAAAAGTTAAGTGGATTTAATTTCAAAGATAATAAAGTTCATGCACTACCAAAATCAATAAAAAAAATTTCAAAACTTAATTTTATATGGCTTAAAGTTCAGAAGATGCTAGACCGTTTTAACCTTTTTTATATATTTTTTACCTTTTTATTATAGGTTTTATGAAGATTTATACATTTTCCATTCAATATTTTAGACACAGATCATAAATTATTTTTTTAAAAAATAAAACATCAAATTTAGTTCTTAAAATGAAAGTGCTAAATAAATGGTTGAAAAAAAAATTGTTTGATATTTTAGATCAATGATTGAAATTAAATCTTAAAAACGAATGATACACCTCACTGTGCTATATCATGGAGTCCACCGCTGGCTGGCTGGTGGTGGGAATGGCCCGTCCACCTCACTGTGCTATTTTATATTTTAATTTCATCATTAACTTAGTTTTTTTATTATCAATATTTTGTTATATTAGTAATTTTTATCAAATTTCTTTTTTAATAACTTATTTCTCTATTTTACTCTTTTGGTTTCTCTCTCCAACTATTAGAATGATTTTTCTCTTAATTTCTTTAATTAGTTTCTTTTTCCTCAACCCTAATGGTATTTTTAAAAAAATTTGGAGGGAAAAAGAATAAGGGAATAAGAAAAATAATGCATCGAAGAAAAATTGATTTGAGAATAAAAATCAATAATCTAATAAAAAAATTAATGAAAGTTCTAAGTCATTCTCGAAATTAGAATATAAAAAAACTAAATGATTAATTTTTTAAATAAAAGAAATTAATTAATTTCTTTTTCAAAAAAAATGAGAGTGGCTAATTTATAATTTACTCCCTCTTTTGTGCGTGGGTCCTGAAAAGCTTGTCATTGACTTTAAAGTTTAAAGTCGACGACAAACCTCCTTCATCCTTAACAGATCGAAGCTTCAGCTTCTGATCATTTATCAAGGCAACTTACAGTATCCTAAACAAAGGGGTGTCGGAGAACTTGTTTGCATTTATAATAGAATTATGGAACTCTGGCTTATTTTGTTCATAACTTGGTCTTCGTTGGCCGTTTCGCTTACTGTTTTGGATTTGCTTTGCAAGTTTGGAAGCCGCAAATTCGGAAGCTTCATGGATGTTGACGGAGGTCAAGATGGAGGAATAGATTTAGAAGGCGGAAGTGATGATGGCAGAGGGGATCATTGCGATGGAGCAGGTGGTGGAGGAGGAAGCGATGGAGGTGGAGGTGGAGGTGGAGGTGGAAGTGGTGGCGACGGCCGCGGCGGCGGCGGTGGTGAAGGAGGAGGAGGTTGATATGTGTTTGTGTGCGTATATATATATATATATATAGCGATCATCTTACAGCTTAAGGTAGGTATAACCTAATATATTAGTTTGGCTAATCCATTTGTTCGAATTCATGTAAATTAATGAATTAGCATTTGCTTTGTTTTGTGGTGCCAATGAGCATAATCGAAATCTGCTTTATCTTATTGATGATGCCATGTCCAATTATATATATATATATATATATATGTTGTTGTTGTCCTCTCTGATTAGCATTGAACAGAGTACTTCAGACCAAAAGAAAGAAAATATACTACAAAAGTGATGAGGATTTGTGTTTTTAAGCGTGACAACTACTAGGAGAATTTGTGTCCGAAGTATAGGTGGCATGTATGAAAATTTTCGTCATGAAATTAAGACTAGAAATCACTTGAAAAGGAATGTATAAGTCAACTAGAAGGGGAAAGGAAATTTCAATTCATTTAACATAATTTTTATTTATTAGACTGTTTTTGGTAACTAAAAAATTATTAAACATAGTTTTTGTTTATTAAATAATTACGAAAATAATTTTTTTCTAATAAAAAATTTTGTACATGCCATCCTCTTAATAGGATATTAAAAAAAAAAAAACTAAAAGACCTTAGATGTTCATGTTCAATGAACAAGAAATCCAAAAAATTAAAAGACCTTGAGTGTTCACGTTTAATGAACGAGTGAATTCACTCTCAATATAGTATTGTTCACATAAACTCGAATAGTCATTGTAACTATGCACTAATTGTTATAAAAGAAATGATAACAACAACATAATTGAAAAGAAAGATGATAAGAAAATGAATTCATTATAAGATAAAGTGGATACAAGAGATAACAACTCCAAATAATCTCTTATTCTTTACAAAATACTTATATATCAACTAATGGACAATCAAGCCTATTTATAGGCTTCAAGATTATAGAGAGAATTGGAAATGATTATAAATTATTACAAGATGCATAAATTGCATAACCTTTTCAATTTTTTATATTGAATGGTGAATTGAATCACATTAAGAATAATGGGTAGTGAGAATATGAAATGGTCATAGACATTCATTATTTCATAATACTCTTCCTTGAATGTCCATCATACAAGGAACATGTCTCGTTAAAACCTTACTATGAAAAACCCAAGTGGGAGAAAATCCTAGTGAAGAAAAAATAGTATATTCCTTGTATATGTTAATCTCAATGTTACGCTCCTCTTATTGAAAACATCATATGAGATCTCTAAGACGATGCATTTTAATCTTGTGAATCATCTTCTAAAAAATTATGATAGGTAATGCCTTAGTGAACAAATCTAATGGATTGTCACTTGATCGAATTCTTCCTTTAATTGAATCATGCAAACATCATTATCTTCATATGATATTATTGAAACTTATTTCTTTGGTAGATAAACTGTATGTCTCTTGAATATGATGAATCATTGATTTTAGCTAAACACATTACCGACTTGCCTCTTAAATTGGTATTTTTGCATGGTAATTTGAATATCTAGTAGTTAGAGATTGCTTCTAGAATATCATGATATGATTGTATCACTAAATATAAATACATAACCTATTTGTGATCGAGTTTTCTATAGATCAAATAAATAAGATGTATCCGTATAATCAATTAAACTCGATTTTGATTATTTGAGTACAATAAATATCATATCAATTTTTCCTTGAAGATAATGGAGGAAATATTTAATTTCATTCCAATGTCTCCAGAGCAAAACTTATATCTTGCTAATAAATTTATAGAAAAAGTCATATCAAATCGAGTATTATTAGTAAGATATATCAATGTACCAATTGTATTAAAATATGGTACTTCAAGATTAAATAATTCTTTGTTATCTTCTTGAAATCGAAAAAGGGTCCTTTTGGATATCAAGTAAACGAACTATCATTGAGCTAATCGATGGATGAGCTTTCTATAGAATCATTATAGAACTTTTTCTATATAAATTAACTAACGAATAAAAATCTTATTCTTTAAGTGCTCGTATCTGCGAGTCAAGATAAAAGTCTTTTTTTCAAGGTATTTCATATCAAATTCTCCTTTCAAATAATTTATGATATTTGAAATCTCTTCGAAGTTTCAATAATATTTAAATCATTAACATATATAGCAACTATCACAAACCCCCTTTTGAATTTTTTTATAAAAATATATGAATAAATATGATTGTTTTTATAACATTTTTTCAATAAATATATATTAAAACAATTATACCACATGCACACATGATAATAATAAAGAGTAGATATTGAAAAATATAAAATAAATATAAAAAGTATAGCATAAATTGAATTTCTAAAAACTAAAATAATAAAAATAATACTAAAATAATATCAATAGAGATTTCTATAATATAATTGAATTCATTTATCGAGAATATGTATTACATGCTTCGGGCATCTTAAGTCATTCTACGACTTTCATATAGATATCATTTTCAATTGAGCAAATAAGCTACGATCACATTCATTAAATGCATGCATATGAATTTTTTCATATATTTTATCAAGCTAATAAGATAAAAAAATATAATTGCATTCATTATAGGAGAATATGTCTCCTCATATTTAATATCAAGTCTTTATGAAAACTCTTGTGTTACAAGTCTTACTTTGTATTACATAATCTCATCCTTCTTATTTTGTTTTTACAAAAATACTCATTTGTATCCTATTAGCTTAACATCTTCGAGTGTTTTTGACTATCGATTCAAAAACTATTCATTTGTAAGAGAACATAATTCTATATGAATTGCTTTTTTCATTTAAGCCAATCATCTTTATGTCGACATTCCTTAATAAATTTAGGCCAAGGATCCTTATTTTCATTCAAAATATCAATTGTAACATTATATACAAAAATCTTATTAATAAATACTTCATTTTGATCATATTTTCTCCTTATATTGACATAATTTATCAAAGTCTCTTGTTTTTTCTCAAGCATTTGGACTTCTTCCATAAGCTTATTCTCGAAATATCTTAGATCATTTTATGAATATTTACATCCTTTATTTTAATTATTTTCCTTTTTTTTGGATTTTTGCTTTTAAAATCAATCGGTCTTTCACGCTTCGGACGTACTTTTGATTCATTTGCTATAATGTTAATAGATTTTTCTTCCAAAAAATCAATTCTAATAGGAGCATTCTCGGTAGGGATATACATTTTAGTTACTCATTTGAGATCCGAGAATGCATCTAGCAATTAGTTTGGTATACTTTATAGATGAATTTATCTTTTGAACTTCAAGTTCATATTATGTTGTACGAGGATCAAGATGATATCGGATAGAGTACTCCATGTAATATTTTTTTTTAATATTTTCAACTACTTGTTTTGTTTATTCTTTCTCCTTAATGTTGGAAAAACTATTTTATCAAGCCGACGAGTCGATAAATCGAGTCTGTAAAAATATTTTTTATTCACGGTTCAAGATATTGAATTATTGAAGAGGATTCAAATCCAATATATATTCTCAAACTCTTTTAAGTACCCATTTTAGTTTGTTGTAGAGAAGCACTACGGATATATACTCGCAATGTCAAAAATTCTTAAATAAGAAATATTTGGTTTATGACCATAAACTAATTAAAAGAGAGGAGAATTTCTAATAACTTATAGGTATGATGCAAACAAATGTTGCTGCATGTAAGATTACATATCCCCAAATATAAACAAGGAGCTTTGTTTTTAAATAATGGTTTAGCTATCAATTGATCATTCGATAAATGATTTTTCTAAACCTTTATGAGTACGAACATGAACAACATGCTATTCAATCTTTATTCTAATAGCCAACCAATAATCATTTAATACTTAAAAGATAAATTCACAAGTATTATCAAGGTGAATTATTTTAATGGCATAATTCAAAAATTATGCTTGTAATTGAATTATTTGAGTTGGCAATTTCGAAAATGTTAGATTTCAAGTAGATAATAAATATACATTTGATCATTTTGTGGATGCATGTATTAAAATCATAAAATATCTAAATGGTCCACGTGGTGAATAAATTGATCCACATATCTCACGTTGAATACATTATAAAAATATTAAAGATTCAATCTCAATTTTACTTAATGATGACTTAATAATCAATTTGCCTTGAAAACATGTAGAACATGAAAATTTATTAAATTGAAGAATCTTCTAACTCTTCAATAAATTTTTATATGAATTTTTTAATATATGTATATATATATTGCATCATGAAATACTCAAGATAAAACAATTGGTAATGTCACATAATAAAAGCATTTGAATTAGTAAACTTCGATTTACTACGAGATTTGTTTCAATCATTCCAATATATATATATATTGCATCATGAAAGACTCAAGATAAAATAATTAGTCATGCCACATAATAAAAGCATTTGAATTAGTAAACTTCTTATTTGCTACAACATTTGTTTCAATCATTCCAATATTTGTAATAAAGACCAAAAAATAAAATGGATAAATTTTTTCAATACATAGTTTCTATCCAATATAATAATTATAATATATAAGTATTCAATATTTTTCACATTTGTTATCTTGATATGATATCAATTTAGATGAATATCTTTGAAACTTAATAAATTTCTACAAGGCCTTAGAAAGAATAGTACATCATTTATAATAAAATTTATCTTTTTAGATGCTCGATGTATTTGCCATTCCGGAGCCTTTAAATCATGTCACTTCAAGTAATAATATATTTGTTCTTCTAAAGCCTTTAAAAGTTATCTTTACAAGTAATATATTCGCTCTCCTAGAGCCTAAAAAATTTATCTCTTTAGATAAGAATATAATCGTTATTCTGAAACTTTTTGTTAGATTGATATTATCATATATAATATTAATATAAAATAAATAAATAATTATAAAATAAATTTATATTTATCTCTATGCAATAGAAATTATAAGAAAATATAAAATATCTTATTTATAAATAAAAAAGCTAACAAGTCATTAATTTTCAATTGTCACTATTTTGATATATAAAATTGGCCTCTATATTTTACTCTTTCTTTTTCAACGAGGCTTAACAATGCTTAATAAGGTGTTTTGGTGTACGACGAGTACGCGAAAAATGTCTATTTATGCCACGAGCTATAACATTCATTTTCAAAATATTGACTAGATTCATTTTCATTCTTTTCTGATTTTTTTCATAGTTTATCAATTTCTAATTGTGAGATATATTATCATAGTCATCACGATTATAATAATAATTATTTCGAGCACGTCCATGGCTATGACCACATCTTCGTCCATGCCTAAAATTGTTATAAGTTATCACATTTACTTCGTGGAATGAAATAGATCTAGTTGAATGAGATTTATTCTTTTTCATAAATAGCTTGTCATTTTATTTAACCATAAGCAAGTATGAAATTGATTTAGAATATTTCTTAAATTTCTTTTCTCGATATTGCTACTGCAAGAGCATATTCAAAACATAAAAAGTAGAGAATATTTTTTAAAAAATCAAGCACTCATAATTAATAATTCTTATTCGAAATATCAAGAGCCACAAAATCAAGTTTATGAGGTTTGATATGATAAAAATTCTATAATGTAATATATAATAATATTATTAGAAGATAAGAATAAATATAATAATAAAATTAAAGCTTTGCAAACAATATTTATTAGATTATTAGATTCTGTATATTAAATTATTTAAGTTTTTTAAATGTATATTCTATGTATCATTAGATTTAAAGTACATGATAAATTAGATACATACCTCTTAAAGATCTAAATAATTTAGATCTTTTGGTAGAGCACTTGTGTAAAAAAAAAATCCAATGGTTGAAATAATTGATTAGGTTTTTTGATAGATACACACCTCATGATCTATTATTTCGATTGGTTAGAGTTTCATGCCGATAACGTGTTATAAAAGAAATAGTATAAATAGTATAATTAAAGAGAAAGATGATAAGAAAATGAATTCATTTTAAGATAAAATGAATACAAAAGATAATAACTCTAAATAATCTCTCAATCTCTACAAAATACTTGTATATCAATTAATGAACAATCAAGCTTATTTATTGACTTTAAGATTGGGGAGAGAATTATAAGGGACTATAAACTATTAAAAGATGCATAAATAATTGAATAAATTGAATCACCCTTTCAATTTCTCATTTTGAATAATGTATAGTGGGAATATAAAATGGTCATGGACATTCATTATTTCATAACACTAATGATATTGTTGTAATTTTTAAGTTCTCGTAAAGCATTTAATAAATAAGTTTTAACAAATGTTACATATCGAGTTTCAAAAAGTTACAACGAGACCCATTACAACCACCACAACAACTTCAATGTGTTTATTTGACAAGGTTTAATGTGTCATGAAATTATGAACTTAACACTTTTAATCATTTTGATATATTTTTTCAAAAATAGATAAAAAAAAATTAATGAACTAAGATTCCGATAACATATTATCACGAAAGGATTTTTTGATTCAAAATTTCTTTTTCACCCGAGGTGAAATGACAAATAGAATAATAGCACGGATCATTCTCCACCTAAGATTACACATGGCTAAAAATTAAAACATGAATTACTTGTTTCACTCTTCTCTTTCACCCAAATACCTATTTTCTTCTTCTTCTTCTTCGCTTGCCGACCACTTACCTAAACCAACAATTCCATCCATCTCCACCACCCATGACTAACATCCTTCACTCCACCACACAAAAAACTAGCCAAAAGGAGATGTTACGAGGATGAGAAAAGACAATTTACATTTTAACTTTTTAGTAAAGGAATAAACAAATATTACCACTAGCAAAAATTCAAATTCTCATATTATGATTGAATGATTTTGTAGTAGGGTTTTATGGGTCCGAGGTGGAAGGTTTGGGAGATTGGCGGAATGGTTATTGCGGTGGGGTGTTGCAACCGAGTGGTTATGGTTGTGGGGAGTAGCAACGAGTGGTGGATTGGCATGAAGGGACAACAAGAGTTACGGTGACTAATAAAGTCGGGTTGTTTGAGGTCGGTGGCAAAGAGTGGTTATGTGTAGGATTATTAGGAATTTTTAGGAATTTAATTAATTGGATTTGTGTTTGATTGACATATAGCTTTTTTTTTTTTTTTTTTTTTTTTTTTTTTTTTTTTTAGGTTTGATTGACATGTAGTTTATTTAGGAGAGAAAATTTATCATATGAGCCACGTGTGATCCTATAAGGCATTTGTGTTTTGTTGCCATCTTACCTCTTATGCCACGTCGAGTTTAAAATAGAATTTTGAATGGAATAATTTATACATGCTAATATGGTTATCGAAAACTTAATTCATGCATTTTTTTATCTATTTTTGGGGAAAAAAATGCCAAGATGATTAAAGTATTTTAAGTTCGTGACTTTTTGATATATTAAGCATTTTGACAATCATAGTTTTTTTTTTTTTTTAATAGTGGTAACAAACTATGAAATAGTTGAAAAAAGGAGGATCCCAAAATATATTGAAGCTTTTGAAATTGATTTATTTTTTTGGATGAATTAAAACAAGTTTCTTGAGGCTATTTTAGTGATTTCGAGACAACTTGATCCTCTCCCCTAAGGATCCCGGATAAAGGAACCCTAAGAGACTGCCAGACTCCAACTATCGTCCATGTATGATCCATACTAGATCCGACCAACTGGCCATCCTACCTCTTCTATGTTCTTGACGAGTTATCTTTGTCTTAGTAAAATCTTTTAGTGGCATATTTCGATCCTCTTCCCCATTACTTAGAAAAAGTGAGCCACCGATTTAGGTACAAAATACTAGTATTATCATCTAGTTTTTACATATATATATGTCCTTATTTAGGACCCTATTCTCTATTCTCTTCACTTGTTTAGGCTTCTATTGAATCAAAAAATAGGTTTGATTGTCCTTTTTTTTTATATATAATATACATAAGGCATCTTTTGGATAATTCAAATCGAAGCAACTGGATGTCCGATTAGGGCTATATAACATGATCGATCAATAGAAATACTCCAACATGCCACCTTTGTCATATATTCCATACATCACACTAAATAGATATCATATTTATGGAATACGATTCACTTTCAAGATGCCTTGGTGGTGAAATGGTAGACACGCGAGACTCAAAATCTCGTGCTAAAGAGCGTGGAGGTTCGAGTCCTCTTCAAGGCATAATATTGAGAATGCTCATTGAATGAGCAATTCAATAAGAGATCTCGTCATAATTTGTGAAAATAAAGCAAATCAAATAAATATAAATAACGAGTTGAGCATAAATTTTTACTTTTTTATTTTTTTATCAAACATGTCGAAAAAACAAAGGGGTTATATCATTTCATGGTGGATCAGTGAATTATTAGGTTGAGCTGGATTCGAACCAGTGTAGGCATATTGCCAATGAATTTACAATCCGTCCATATTAACCGCTCGGGCATCGACCCAGGAAGAAAAAATTCCAGACTTCTTAATAATCTCCCATAAACTTTCTTTTGTAATACCCTACCAACAGAGGAAGTCCAATCCCCGCTGCCTCTTTGAAAGAGAGACGTCCTTGACCATTAGACGATGGGGGCACTTTTGCATGATGGTCAACGTATTATGCTCAAAATATGAACAGTTTTTTAAAATTGTCAATAGAATGAATCCGTGACAATATTTCGTGGGAAGTTGCGGGGCAAATGATGCATGGTCCTTTATGAAAGACACGTCATCCGCCTCTTTCTTTCTTTCTTCTTCTTCTTTATATATAAAAATTAGGTTGTCTCGCATGTGTTGAGTCGATGCTCGCATGAGCGTGGTTCTCCTGGCTCAAGGGCACATGCCTTGCTTCTTTTTTTCTTTTACTTTTTTCCCTAATTTCATTTTAAATTTGTGTTTATATTCAATTTTGTATTAAAATTATGAAAAAACTGATCATTATTTCATGATCTTTCCATTCATCTTAGAGAGAAAGAGTATTTATGATATATTTTTACATTTTAAACTAAACGTATGATCAAATTGTATTACTCTTATTATTTGAGATTTATTTATTTATTTTATAATTTCCTATAAAAATTTCAACCAATTCACTTTTTTCTTAGCTTTTTTTCCTTGTTAAATTTTTTTTTTAACAACTATGATTTGTTCTTCTTTATGTCTGGATTTTGAGAATAATTTTTTTTTTTTAACATGATTATTGTCTTTTTTTTTTAAAAAAAAAACCAATATAGTTTATGCTATGAAATATTATGATATTTAAATAAAACTATGATGATTTTAAATATATATTGAATCTAAACTCTAGAAGTATATTGCAAATATTTGGTTGATATTAAAAACAATTAATCAATGATTAAAAGAAATAATTATATATATAAAAAAATATTTCTTTTAACCATAAGCAAGGCTTGTGCAGAGACCAAGCATCATAACATGAAAAGAAATATTTTTTTTAAAAAAATAGAATCCTCGTATTTTGTTTTCTTATTAGGTAATCAATTTTTTTTTTAGTTTGTATTTCGTCTATTAACTTTGAATTTATTCAGTATATTCCTACATGTTAAGTAAATGCTTTTCATTTTAGGATGCAGGCTATAAAAAAAATTATAGGTTTGATAAAAAAAATAAATCATAGATTTGATTGGAAATTAACTATACACATACACATAAAAACATTGACAATTCACTATTTACTTATTTAATTTTAGATATTCTAAAATTATTTTGTCTTCAAATAAAATAATGTTTTTAAAATCATCGATGATGCCATACTTTTCAAATAAGATTTGAGTTTTCTCATATTTTAATATTATTGATAATTTTGTGAATAAATATATATAAATCTAGTGTACATAATTTCAAGATATAATTGTCTCATGAATATTAAATAAGAATCTTTTTTATTATACAATTTTTACATTACCTTTTACTTAATTTTTCCTATACAATCTTATAAAGAATATTAAAACATATTTTGTTTTGCCTTTTTGGTTGAAACTTACAATTTAAATAATTATAATTTTTTATTTAAAAATTCATGCATAAAGAAAAACAAATCATATTTAAAAAAAATTACGGAAAAGATAATAGAAGAATTAATCAAATACAGAATTTTAATTAAAAAATAGAAAAAAAGACGAAAAAAAGTATTTTTTTCTTTGATTCAATATATTTAATAGATTCACGCTATCGTGGAGAAAATCAAACTAGCGTTAAACTATTCTTACCAGGACATAGACAGATGGGCAACATGGAAATTGTGTTCAATGGATTGATTAAGGATAAAATTGCGTTCAATTGATTGATTAAGGATAATACTGTTAATGAGCACATAAGTTGGGAGCTTTTTTGTAGATAACCCAATGGCGAACTACAGTGGCACAGCAGAAATTTCACTTTGGCAGCAGATGAATATGTTAATTTACATGGAAGAAGAAAAGAAAAAAAATTTTCATTATCTATTTTGTGCTAGAAAAAAAATATAGAAAAACATAAATTTGTAAAGAGTTTGCCAATAAAGATATGTTTATGCTCTATCCAAGATGAGGGACAGTTGCATTTACATGAAAATGGGAACTAGGGAAAACCATGGAAAGGGAGTAGCTGAAGAACAAGAACAGCAAAACCTCAAAACCCAAACTAGCTGAGGAACAATTAAGTTGGGAGAAAATGAAAGGAAAATAAATACTTTATCTCCAATTGTGAAGAGAGATGTAGGTAAAGAAAAAATTGGCAAAAAGTTCATTCTATAATCATTCCAAGTTCCATCCACTTGGCAAAAGAAAACAATTAGGACTCTACTGGGCAAATTAACAAGTAAAAATAATTAAGTTCCAAAAAATTTATCGATCAAATTATTTCGACGCCTTTTGATTGAGTTCCTATAATTTCCCTTGCAGTACTCCTCATCTAAATAAGAGAAATAAAAAGGACAGATGAGGAACTTATTGTTCTCGGGACTACTTCCATCATCTCCATGCATTGTATCCTCTGCCATCATGTTGAAGCTCAAGATGATTCTAAGCTTTTGACAAATTTCTTAGCCTGACATAGGAAAGGAAATAAAACATAACGAGTGAGCCACTAAAAGTAATTAGTAAGCAAACGACCTAATGAGTGCCTGCTGCAAATAAGTACAAAAAAAAAAAAAGACCAAATATGTTCGAAGACACACATAGGATTCTACCGGAAGGAGGTTGAAAAGCAGCGTGCAGACCAGATAATTAACAAAATAGAAATTGGAAGAACAAAGCTCTTAAAAAGGAGGAATACAAATACCAAGTGGAGAAAGAATTTGTACAATTTGTACCTGTTCTAAAGTTAGAAACATTATCACATTCCAAGATCCTAGCCTTCCAAAATTTGGAATAAATCCCTTATAGAAAGCAAGTGGTCCCTGCAAAAAAACATCAGATTCTATGAGTTTAACAAATTAAAAATTATGAATTTGCACTAATGACTAGCACATCTAGATATGTTGAAAACATAAAATGGCTTAGAATATCCATCCAAAACAAATAGTACTTCTCCTTGAAGTTAAGAGCATAAGAATGATGCTAGAGATGCTAACTAGTTTGCTAAATTTCTTTTATTAACTACTAAAGAGGCATCCAAAAGGCGATAAATTAACAATCAATTTTGATTATGGTATGTACAGAACAAATATGTTAGGGCCATGCCAGCATGATTTTATCAACTTTCGTATGTGTTGAAAATAGTAAATAATTATCAGCAAACTTTTAGCATCCCTAGCATTACTCAAAACTTAAATGTTATAGTTTTGGATAAAATAGATCTTTAAAATGCAATGATATCAAACAAAAAGTACTAGCACTTAGTTTATGCTATAATTAATAGTCAACTTATTTAAATGTCAATCGTTAGAGAACTAGTTTTCATTTCTAAGAGATAGATATATAAGGTTGAAAGATAATCATACATCATTCTTCAAAGTCTTGATGAAACAGTCAAGTGTGCTTTTGTATGCAGAATCCCCCATCATTCTTGACTTAACCTGCAAAAATAAATTTTAAAAAATAAAAACCAAAAGCATTAAAATGATGCATCCAACCGAAATATTTGACAGGAAAACGACTAACGGACACCCAAGAGGCCAGGACCTGTGGGAAAATAAATGACTGGCTAGTTTAGCAACAATTGCTAATTGCATCACAGATGCCAGTTAATTTCAAACTCTAGTTCTAATCTGAGACAAATTGCACAGAATATTCTTATAAAATATTAGAGGTTTATACAGACATAGATAGTTTACCACATCAACTGGGGAACCGATACAAACAGCGAAAAATCCCGCCCCGAGACCAGACAAAAGATGAGTGACAACATTATCTGTGAATCCAGGAATTTTCAAAATTGTCTGCAATGAATAGTAAAAATTAGAAATGGCACAAGATATTATATGCAATTGTTAGAGAAAAAGGCATAAAATTGTTGCGTATTGAGTTACCTGCTTCACTTGATCATAGCTGGCCAGTTCAGCAGCATTTATAATAGCATTTCTTGCTATATTGGGTCCAATCCCAGTCCAGAGTGCCCGAACTCCTTCCTGAACGTTAGAAAAACCAAGTAAAAACAGACTGACTAATACAAAGGAAGTATTTTTCAATTGTCTTTATCCTCATTTAGATAAACAACCTGTCTCACAATTGTCGAGTATGCACTCAAAGCTCCAGAATAGCGCCTTGGAACACCAGGTGGTAATTTCCCTTCAGCCTGAAGTCTAACTTTCACAAGATCAGTTGGATTTGCCACAGTGATTCCAATAGCACCTGATTGATAAGACAAGTACATCCACAACACAAAAAATAAATAAATAAATAAAAGCAGGCATCCGGAAATTGTATCAGAATCAAGAATGTACATATTAGTTGACAAATTTTTCTTTGAAGTTATCCCTTAACATTGGCAAATTAACTCACCAGTAGTAAGTGCAGCAAGAATCTTCTTGGTCAAAGGAACATCTCCAACAAAGTCACTGCCGACATAAAGGTTCTTAACCTGACAACCACGTAGTTTACATTTCACAATAATTAGCAATAAAACAGAGCATATAATAAATTAACTCACTACTTCACAATAAAAGACCATTTAGAAACCCACCGGCTCATATAACCCAATTCTTAACCCTCCATACAAACATTGCCGATGCAATCCAGGTACAATTCCTTTCCAAAGCGCTGACATACCTTCTTCCCTAGCAATGGTAGCAACCGTTCCCAACATACCCCTGTATTTTGGCAAGGCCGCTCCATCTCCTGCAACAGCCGACTTTTGTAACTGCAGCCTAACTTTTGCAGTATCCAACGGAATTGTGCATATCTGCATTAACAGATAGTTAGCATTAATCGATTCTGTTTACCAAATCTTAAGACCTAGTCATTACTTTTCTCAGATAATAAATAAATAGACTGCAATTCCAACAATTCAACCTCAAAGATATAACCTAAAAACAGCATAATTCAAGGTATAAGACGGATGAAAATGATTGCTCAATAACAATTAATTTTCAATTAACATAATTGAATTGATTACTTGGGATGATAAAGTAAGGAACTAGATTCAAATTAAATGGGACAAGTAATTTATTATTATTATTATTTAAATACAGTGAGCTTTTATGTGATGATAAATGTGATACAAAAGAACCAAAACCCACGAAATGTGTTAAAAGGACAAAGATGTAGCTTTCACTAAAATATCAAATCATCATGAGAAATCTTGATTTGGGACCTTGTAAAGATTAGATTATCCCAGATATCCAAATACTCAAAACACAAAAAACATCAATAATTCAACAGAACAAAATCATGATCAGGAGAATCAAAACAACCAAACAAAGAAATGGGGACTAATTCCTGGGAACAGTATCGTTACCTCAGCAAAACAAGCCGCAAAAGCACTGCTAGCAAAAATTCCGGCGAAGGAGATATCGGATTTGCCTTTGGAATCAGCCACCATCTTTGTTATTATTTAGCTGGACAAAGACACAGAAAATGAGAAAGAAAGAGGGAAAATAAAGGAAGAAATGGGATTCGTGCAAATCGAATCTTGGGAAAAGGGACCAACCAACTCGAGCCAAACCGCAGGTTGCGCAATTGGGTCCTCCTTTCGATCTTTGCCTCTGCTGTCGTGTTCTCTTCTGCTCTTCATCGTCATCCCTCATTTATGCTTTTGCACCCCACTAGTTAGTACTAGCCTCCGCCTGCCCAGTATGGAAACTTTTATTTTAACTCTTTTATCTTATCTAAAAAATTGGGAAAAAAAAAAAAAAAACTTAGATTTATCTGTACTAAATATTACCATACAGTACACAAACAGACTTGGCTCAAATTCCTTGGATTTATTCTTGAAGGTTAGAGAGTGATTGCAGTTTTCTTAATTATAATGATGTAATAAAAAAAGGATTATCTCATCGTATAAATCAAAATCGGTTTGACATTTCAATAATCCAAAAAAGAATAACAATGTATTAAACTAGTAGTAATTAATAGTAATTTTTATAAGTTAACCATGTTGTTTGGATTATAAAAAAAAAAAAAACTATTTTTTTAATCAGTTTTCACATCAATTAAAAATAATTTTATTATTTTTTTGAGTTAAACTAGGATCAAAATACGTACAACTTTTAGTCGACTATTAGACTATCTTTTAAATCAAATCGACCTAAATTTAATATTATTAAAAAATAATTATGACTATTTATACATGGATTAATAAGAATTGAGGTAGTCTAAATATCAATGGCAATACATGCATGGAAGTGAAAAAATTGACGTACTCTTATATTTTTTACAATAATTAATTTCGTGATTTTGTTGATTTTACTTTTGATTTTCATTGGTAAGAATATTTTCTAGTCAATTTAATGCCTAATTGTCATGTGTAATAAATCCCATTTGTTAAAATAGTTTAAACTTCAGTCACAATACATGTTGCGTGTAAATGAAAACAAGATGTACGCTTATTTTTTTATAAAAATTAATTTCGTAACTTTTTTAAAAAAATTTAATAATAAAAATATTTTTAAATTAATTTTTACGTTTCATTTTGATCTTAAATAAAGTATATACATATGAATTGGTGTATTCATAAGAAAATTATTTCTTATGACCTCCTTAAAAATTTAAATTTAGAACGATAACGCGGATGACTAAATCTATCTACCAACCAAACTAAACCTATAAGGATGCTTTTGCAATTCGAGAATAACTTTTTTATAGTGAGTCTGTAATTTATCCGTTTGGTGTAAATTCATAAGCCGTTGCGTAGAAAGTTTTCAATAGTTCGACGAAGCATTGGTTGGAACCGGTCGAATGGGTAAACAAACGGGACAAGTATTTATGAGGCTTACCGAATGGATTAAGAGATTATCAAGCTCGTGAATAGATGAAGTAAAATCGATAAAACTCTTTTTTGATATCGATGGGATATTATAACACTCAAATAACTTTCTTCACACAAACTCATGCTTGCGGTAACACTAACTAGAGAAGAGATTTTTGAATCACGTAATATTTCATTAAATAATTTGATCCGATACAACTCACATGCAGGAGCATGCCTTTTATAGGCTTTAACATACAATATTATAATATTTTTTAGTAAACTAACTTGTGAAGGAACATAAAAGCTTGGACTCTATAAGTTGATAGCCACTATTTTGTGGCTTTAATTTAGCATTGCCCACAATCCAATTTCAGCTAACGAGTAAGCACTCCATCATGTGGTAAAAGTTTTTGGCTCAAACTAGTCTAATATTTCAACTATAGTAGCAACAATTATAGCTTAACAGATGCAAAGACCGACTTCTAGCAATTATCAAGCTATACTTATTTTTTTTTTGAAGCTTGATTTAATTATCGACATTGCCTCTCTTAAATCAAGCTTGTAAATTCATCATTCCAAGCAATTTCTTTAAGTTATAAAATAAATCAATCTTTAAAGGCTTTGTAAAAATATCTATTACTTGCTCTTCAATGAGACAATACTCATTCACCACTTCTTTCTTAGCTACCAGCTCTCAAATTTTGTGAAATCGAATATCAATATGCTTAAATCGCTCATGAAAAACTGAATTTTTGCACGGTGCAATTGCATATTTATTGTCATAAAATATTTCTATGGAGTATTATGCTTCGATGCATCACTTCTAAAATTCCTCTAAGCCAAACTCGCTTGTATGACATAACCGGTTCGTCGCTATATATTCCGTTTCAGTTGTAGAGAGTGCAACAATTGGTTGTTTCTTTGAGGACCATGATACCGCACCAATGCCCAAATGAAATGCGTACCCTAACGTGCTTTTTCTTGTTTATATATCTCCCGCCCAATCACTATCCGTATAGCCAACAAGTTTTACATCATTGTTATTGGCATAAAAAATTTCATAAAAAATTCCATCGGTTAGAGTACCTTTGATATATCGAAGAATTCTCTTGGCTCCTTATAGATGACTAGCATATGGTTCCTTCATAAACCTACCGAGCAATCCAACTCCAAAGACTATGTTTGGTCCGGTTACGATCAAATATCCGAGACTTCCAATCATGCTTTTATAATTGGTTGAATCTACCCTTTTGCCATTATTTTCTTTTGTTAGCTTTAACTTTTCTTCAATCGGCGTGGAGACAAGCTTAGCATTTTCCATCTTGAATTTCTTCAAAATATATCTAGCATATTTCTTTTAAGATATAAAAATTCCATCATCCTACTCGAACAACCTCAATGCCAAGAAAATAAGACATTAGCCCTAACTTTGTCATTTCAAAATAGCTTATCATAGCCTCCTTGAATTTTGTAATCATCTTTGGATTATTGCCAGTAAAGATTAGATCGTCAACATAAAGGCACACAATAATAATAATTCTAGGCTCAACAAATTTAATGTATAAAGTATGCTCAAATGGACATATTTCAAAACCATGCTCATGAAGTAGGAATCAATCTTTTTATACCATGCCCTTATGCTTGCTTCAATCCATTTAAAGCTTTCTTCAATCTGTAGACCTTATCTTTTTTTCCCTCAATCATATAACATATAACTCCGCAGGCTACTCTACATATATTTCTTCTTCTAAGGTGTCATTCGAAAAGCGGACTTAACATCCATTTGATATATATTTCAATTATTTTATGCCGAGAAAGAAATAATCATGCGAATTATATCCGATCTCGTAACAGGAGCAAATACCTCAAAGTAATCAATACATGGCTTTTGCTTGTATCTTTTCGCAACCAACCTCGCTTTAAAGCGGTCAATTTCACGATTGGGCTTATACTTTGTTTTGTACACTCACTTCACTCCAATAGGTTTCTTATCTAATGGCAAGTCCGTTAACTCTCATGTTTCATTCTTCTCGATGACATGAATTTTATCATCCATGGCTTTTCTCCAATTCCGATCATTTGAGGCTTCTTCAAAAGTCATTGACTCACAATCCGCAAATAAGGCAAAATTGATAATTTCTTCATCGGATGGGTCATTATCATTACCCACAACATAATCCTCCAGTATGGCTAGCACTCTACGATGCCTGCTACGGTCCGTTAGATACTTTTGGCTCATCAAGTGTTGGAACCGTATGTTCATTCTCCTTTTCATCCTTGTCCGGAATCATCACCAGCTCCTTTTGGGCCTTTGAAGACTAGTCCCGCATTTCTTATTCATCAAATGTCATGTCACGACCGATGATCACTTCTTTGTGACTAGATTATAAAGCTTGTACACCTTTGAGTTTGTGTTGTAGCTAATGAAAATGCATTTTTCATCTTTGTCATCCAACTTCCTTATGAGTTGATCCGGAACATAGGCATATGCAATATACCCAAAAACTCGAGGTGTCGAATTGAGAGCCTTTTTTTGCTCCAAGCTTATTCGGGTGTTTTATCACAAACGTTATTTGTTGGACACTCGTTCAAAATATACATAGTAGTAATAACCGCTTCGCCTAAAATTCTTTAGGCATTTGTTTAGCCTTTAGCATGCATCTCACCATATCCATAATCATCATGTTCTTCTTCTCAACAACTCCCTTCTATTAAGGAGTGTATTTGGTTGTTAATTGATGCTCGAATTCCACATGTTTAAAGAAATATGTACAGTAGAGGTACTTTTGGCCTCTATCCGTTCTCAATGCTTTAATCCTATAATCGTTTTGTTTTTCCACGGATGCCTTGAATGACTTGAAGGCATCACGAGCTTCGATTTCTATTTCAAGAAATATACCCATGTCTTTCTACTAAAGTCATTAATAGAGGTTATAAAATACACAAACCACCATGTGTTGGCACATCAATCGTACACAAGTCTAAGTGCACAATCTCCAATAGGTTTTTCACCTTCCAAGACTTTCTAGTTGGGAACGATTCTCTATGCTTCTTACCCAACTCATAGGTCTCACATACACCATTAGGTATATTCACAACATGCAACCTAGAAACAAATTCTTTCCTTGATAGATAGTTTAGTCCAAAAAAAATAAAAGTGTCTAAAACGCATATGCCACAACCAATCATCATTTGGTATCACATAACTTAAGTAAAGAAATTTTTCATGTTGGATTTTCAAAAGGAATAGGCCGTTGAGAGTCAAGTCTCCCATTACCGTCAATCAATGTGCAACTACCATAATGAATCTACATATTGTAACCTTGCTCTAACGAGTTGTCCCATACTCAACAAGTTATGATGAAGGTCGGGAGCATAGAAAACATCGGTGATAAAATTTTATGAACCATCCTTTAACTTAATAGTAATTCGACCTTTTCCTAAAATTAGAATATTAGTGTTGTTCCCAAATTTTACGGTTGAATTAACCGTTTCATCTAAACAAGAAAATAACTCCTTTTTCCCACATATATGGTTACTACAACCAGTATCTAAATACTAGATATTTTTCATCTTTTGGAAAAGTATTGCTTGTTAAAAATAAACTTTGTGGGTTATTTGAATTCTCACTA